ACCTCCTCACCCTGCCTCCCTAAACTGCCCTAAAAAGTGGTAGAACACTGTAGTACTGTTAAGGTTAGTTGCCGGCTATCCTCCGAATAACGGTCGTAAATTATAAAGGCAAAAAATATACCATAACAGGGCCTCAGTCACGTGTCAATTGCACACATATAACACCACTGCCGAATTGCGATCTTCCAGCAACTTCCACCACCCCCGAGAGTGTCCCCCACGCCGCTCACGCGGCGTGTATTGGGGCTAAACTAGATGGCTAGGACTCACGAGCAAATAAAATGAAGGAAGCTGCAGGAGATGCGGTAGCTGCTGCTCGTCAGTCCTAGCCATCTAGTTTAGCCCCAATCCACGCCGCATGAATGGTGTGGGGGACACTTTCAGCAGTAGCGGAAGTTGCCGAAAGTTCAAATTTCGGCGGTGGCGAAAGTCGCCGTAAGCGCGCAGTTTAAGACGATGGAAGTGCGCAATTGACACTTGACTGAGACCCTGTTAGGGTATATTTTCCGCCTCGATAATTTACGACCGTTATTCTGAGGATATCTTAGTTGTGTATCCTTTACAGGACGTTGCAGAACCAACCCCAGCAGCTCCTGGCTGTTGTGTGGTTTCTCTGAGCAAATTTACGTCCAGTAGTTTGCCATTGCTTTCTGGACGGTTGGCTTCTTGATACCACTGTCAAAACCAACGCAAGGCGCGTGGCCCGCAGCTTGGATCGAACCCGGCACCCCGGCATTACAAAACGTTCGCATTGACTTAGCCTACTCTGTATGTAGTACTGTAGTGACAGTTATATTCATGTTCCAAGGGACATGGTGACGATTCTTGGCAGAACATAACTTCCAGTTTGCCTGTGCAGGATCTCTTACCACAGACAAAACATTTGTTAAGCTATATAATTTATGCAGCATCCATGGCTTAGGCGTTGCAAGTCCAACTTGTAATTCCAAGGTACCGCGATCGAAACCCACTGCTGGCTGCGTGGATTTTTATCATGGTATGGGGCGTAGCAGGTTGACCCAGCCTAAAATGGGTCCCAGGATGTATGTCTTGGGGAAGTAAAGATGGCTGGTGTAATGCTGACCACATTACCCACCTAGTGCCGATTGGTCTTTAAAAATATGGGTGCTCTTTCCATATGCCCGATACGCCCAAAGGCGTGAAAAGAGATCTTTAACTTTAACTTTGTTTAATTTATAGTATTAACTTTCTGTACATAAGGGAGTTGAAAGGTTGTAGACCATGAGGCAGACCAAGAAGACAATGAAGAATACAAACATGTGGTACCATATAGACAGGCACCTGAGACAACAGATCACGTCCTCCAAGACTGTCCTAGATACATTTCCAGACAAAACTTCTGGCCAAGAGAGACACTTATGTAGCCCAACTTCATTCACTGAGTGAATTACAAAAGCAAATAAAGACAACATTGCAGATATAGATATTCTATTTCAAGCGAAGGAAAGAAAAAGCATTGATGTCATAACTATAAAGAGATCCGCTGAGCTAGAAAGAAGAATGAGTGAAGGCGGATTATATCTGCAGCAAGCGCCACAGAATAAAACTTTGTTAAAACTTTCACATAACAGAGTCCATACATCCACAATACTTGAACAATTAATCACACGACCACACATTTAGACAAACTGAAAGCTGACTGACCTGACTCACATACCACACACTCCCGCCAACAGTGGTCAGCTACACACGGATCCCACATTTCCCACACAACTTGGGGCGCTTGCGGTCACCCCTGAATATCAAGCAGCCTCTGTTTCACAACTTCAAGTGGCTCACGTTTACACTCACAACCCGTCAACACAACACGAGTGCCTGTCTTACTCATGCTTCACAAAGCCCTGGCTTCATTAACTTTCTATATCTCATAGTGATTTCGCATACAAAAGAGAAATTACTAGAAGCTTAGAAGTTTTCAGTCATCTTTAAATGTCTTTATTACTTATTTCAGTTTGTATTGCATCAGAGGCTCAGGAAGCTTGGGTTCTCACCCCCAACAAAATAGTATATAGGGGAGGGGCGCTGAGACCCCCTCCAAATATTACTGGGGTCTCCCCCACCTTGAAAGTTTATTAATGGGCCTCAGATACCACATATAGTCTTGACGTTGTGTTTTAAATTGTTTGTACATTTATATTTTATTTATGTGCCATTTATCAAATAATAATAATTGTTGCATGCTTAAAACCCTAGAGAGGTTTGTAGGTTTGAACATTGGATCAACATCATTGCACACGGGTAGTAGTAACTCATAAGTGCTCCGTTCTTCTAACTCAAGTCTGAGTCCGAAGAAATTCAGCACAGTGCACAGGCTCTGTATCACTGGCGAGGATCCTTATACTTTAAATCTACTTTAGGTAGATTTTAAACTTCAAATTTTGCAATGGCAGCGCTGTTAGGCTACTCTTTTTTAATGTCCAACTTCCAGGGGATTTTTTACATGCGCGACAGTACACACAGGCGTCTGATCCCACTACCCAGAGACCAGGGAAAATTACTGGAAGTCCAAGTCCAAATGAACAAAATCCCAGCTCTTATCGGGGATTGAACCCGGAACCTCTAGCACTCAAGGCGATTGTCATGCCTCGAGACCACGCAGCCACCTACCTTAGATATATCTGGATTATTACCAAGTGTAATTTAGCAATAGTGTAATAAAGAAATAGCTTTTTATCATGTAGTAGTAAGTATCATCTAAATAATAACCTGTTCAGCTGCCAGGGTTATAGATACTATTTTATGTTATGTTATCACAATCGACGTCTTTTTGCACATTGGACATCCCCATGCATGCTCAGTCCTCCGATGCAGTAGCCACTTCATGGTACCTCTTCTTATTGTTCCCATGAGGAGTTGGTTATAGTTTCTCCATCTTTACCTCTAAGACGGCATGGTCGTGCTTCACCAAGCTTAACTTCTCGGTCACGAAGTCATGTTAGCGTCAGAGATTCGCCTTTATCTCCCAACCTAATCCATACAGCGTTGATGATATCAGCTCTGTCCATGCTTTTTACCCATTCGCATTGGTGCATTACTTGCCAGCTGGTCAGCTCTTTCATTACCATTTACTCCTGCGTACCCAGGTGTGTAGATCCAGATCATGGAGGTTAACTGCGACTTCCAAATGCTTTCTAACCATTCGGAGCGGAGACTAACTGTAGCGATTTTCTGAAAGATGCTATGTATAGTGTCTGTTGTATTTTCCTTGTATACTGTTTGCTGTGTTTATATTTTGTATAAGGGGAGTTGAGTGGTCTTAAAGCATGGCAACTGCCTTGAGCGCTGGAGGTCCCGGGTTCAGGCCCAGGGGAAGGCTGAGATTTTAAAACGTGGACGTCTAGTAATTTCCCATGGTTTCTGGGTAGTAAGACACTGGTGTGTGTATTGTTGAGATGGTTAACAAATCCCTTGACAGTTGAAAACTGAAAACAAATAGCCAAAAAAATCCCTTGACAGTTGAAAACTGAAAACAAATAGCCAAAAAAATCCCTTGACAGTTGAAAACTGAAAACAAATAGCCAAAAAAATCCCTTGACAGTTGAAAACTGAAAAACAAATAGCCATTAAAATTGATCGCGTGGGCAACTGCTGATCTGTTGGCGACTTCTGCTACCATCAATGATGAACTGCAATTCTAATACTGTGATAAACATTCTGTGTGTTTTTCGTTGGCACAGGACAAGAGCAAAGATGGGGTGACCCGTTTGCTATGAAGCTGAAACTAAGACTACCAGACTACCAGACAAACAAATAGCCAAAAAAAAAATCCCTTGACAGTTGAAAACTGAAAAAAAAATAGCCTAACAGCACTGCCTGGGCAAAATTGTGATTTTAGCTACTGGCACCATTAGTATCGGAACTCTTCGCTGGCTGCTGAAGATGGAGACGGAGCGCTTATGGGAATGCCCCGGGTGCTGTGATGTCGGTTCTTGAATCAAATCAAATCAAATCGATTGTGGTTTAAAAATCTACCCAAAGTATTTCAGGATTCTTACCGGTGCTACGGAGTTTGTTAAGTTGGAAGTAGAATAGAGCACTTATGGGTTACTACCCTTGTGCCATGATGTTTATCCGTTGTTAAAACCTAAAAAAATGTATATTTTGTAAAATAATTTCTTTTAGACATTTGTGTAATTTGTATCTTTATTTGAAATATTGAATGTTGAGCTAACAACTGAGAATACAGCAATTGGGATATTTCCATAGGCGCTCAGTCCTCATCTTTAGCAGCCAGCGGAGAGTTCCATTTCCAGTAGTTCTAGCAGCAGTATGATTATATATGTGTCTTGCCTTTCGTCTGAGTTCAGAGCATCAGCTAGATTCCCTGGTCACTTTTAGCTGTCCCATTATCTCCAAGCTAGTACCAAGTAGCTTGTCATTCATAAACCCACCTCCTGTCAGTGCATAACCATCCAATCTGTCTATGTGTTAATTTCCTAATACTCCTGCTTGCCTGGGTCATGACCTCATGTATAAATGATGTGACAGAAGGTGTTATGACATCATGTGTGAATGATGTGACAGAAGGTGTTATGACATCATGTATGGATGATGTGACAAGGTAAAATGACATCATGAATGAATGATGTGATAGAAGGTAGAATTGCATCATGCATGAATGATGTGACAGAAGGTATAATGACATCATGTATGGATGATGTCACAGAAGGTATAATGACATCGTGTGTGAGTGATATGACAGAAGATGACATGACATCATGATTTAATGATGTGAACAGTGATGTGAGTGAAGTACAGCATGTATAACTGACATGGTAAGATGCATATTTTTTTTATTTCTTTCACTGTCCAGATGATTGCCATGATAGTTCTGCATGAGTGATTGTCATGAACTATTTAACTCGAATGATTACAACCAAAGTGGCGGCAGAGCTGGAGGCAAGGAGCTGAGAACATAACAGGAAGAGGCAGGGATATCTCGCCTGTGTTTGCCAGAGTTGTCATGAGTCAGCGCAGACATGGCAACAAGCAGTCTCAAGCAACAGAGCAGTGGAGAGATAAAGGCAGGGTCTCGAAACAGTTCTGTGAGTGGTAAGTGGGAGCTCTGTGTGTGTGTGTGTCTCTCTCTCACTCTGTCTGTCTGTCTCTCTCTCTGATTCTGTGTCTCTGTCTTTTTCTCTCTGCCTGTTTTTCTCAGTCTGTCTTTCTCTCTGTCTGTATCTCCATCTGTCTCTCTATCTCTCTCTCTGTCTGTCTGTATCTCCATCTGTTTCTATATCTCTCTCTGTCTGTATCTCCATCTGTCTCTATATCTCTCTCTGTCTGTATCTCTATCTGTCTCTATATCTCTCTCTGTCTGTATCTCCATCTGTCTCTATATCTCTCTGTCTGTCTGTATCTCTATCTGTCTCTCTATCTCTCTCTCTGTCTGTCTGTATCTCTATCTGTCTCTATATCTCTCTCTGTCTGTATCTCCATCTGTCTCTATATCTCTCTGTCTGTCTGTATCTCCATCTGTCTCTCTATCTCTCTCTCTGTCTGTCTGTATCTCCATCTGTTTCTCTATCTCTCTCTGTCTGTATCTCCATCTGTCTCTCTATCTCTCTCTCTGTATCTCCATCTGTCTCTATATCTCTCTCTGTCAGTATCTCCACATGTCTCTATATCTCTCTCTGTATCTCCATCTGTCTCTATATCTCTCTGTCTGTCTGTATCTCCATCTGTCTCTATATCTCTCTCTGTCTGTATCTCCATCTGTCTCTATATCTCTCTCTGTCTGTATCTCCATCTGACTCTATATCTCTCTCTGTCTGTATCTCCACCTGTCTCTCTGTGCATGTGTGTGTCTCCATGCATGACTGTATTTATGACTGTATGTGTGTATGCCTGTATTACGTATGTATGTATGAATGTATGTATGTATGCCTTTATGTTTGTATCTATGTATGTATGTTTGTGTGTACGTATGCCTGTGTGTATGTGTGTATGCATGTTTGTATGTATGTGTGTATGTATGTATGTATGTATGTAATGTATGCATGCATGTTTTTGTGTGTAAGTGATTGGGTGAGCGTGTGTATGTGGGTGTATGTATGCACGCGCGGGTTTTTGCTTTTGTGTTCTTTTATAATATTTATAATATGCATAACATCATATGATCATAACATGCTTTATTAGTAAAATACAACTGCTGTGCGAAAGATGGTTGACTGGAAGGGCCGAATGTAAGACGGGCCTGCGTGCCCAATTTGTGACCCTTTGAAAATAAAGTTCGTTCGTTCGTTTTTCGTTCGTTCTCTATCTCACTCTGTGTCTCTCTGTATTGCTGTATTGCTCTCTGTATGTACAGACCCCTGGGCACATACTACAGTACTGCCCTTACCTCTCCCAGCAAAGACTGTGGATATGGCCCAAGGGAGCCACATTGCAAGAGAAGCTATGGGGAACCGCTGGCGACCTTAAACACACAGTCCTATTTGTGACCCAGACGGGACTCAATGTTTAGCATGACTGATGTCGAACGCAGAAGAAAAAGTCTCTGTATCTCCATCAGTCTCTCTTTTATGCCTGTCTGTCTCTATCTCTGTTTCTCACTCCCTCCTCTATCTCCTCGAAACTTTATTATGTGAAATTTTGCTTTGTGAAACACTGTATAAAACATTATCACGTGAAACTTTGTCATGTGTAACATTGCTATGAGAAACTGTATCCTTTTTATGTGAAGCTTCATTCTGTGAAATGTTGTCATTTAAAAATTTGTCATTTGTAACATAATATGTTACTATGCCATGCCTATAACAATATGTCGAACATCTGGAAGTCAAAGACATTCAGCAAACGTGCAAAACTTAAGAACTTCAACTCTTGTGTGATTCCAGTAACTTATAGATGTGAGAGTTGGAAAGCAACAGTAGCTCTAGGTAAAAAAAAATAAAAAAAAATAATTAAACAATTTTGAAAAAATTAAAAGAATACTATATTTCCCATGGACAGACTGAAAAGAGACCAAGCCAGATAATGTATAAAATTTTATAGGAAGGTGCAGCTGGAACTACATCAGACATGCACTCAGAATGGGTAAGACCAGACTCCACCATCAAGCTCTCACTGAAATGGGAAAAGAAAACAGGAAAAACCAAGAAAGAGCCTAATGAACATCCAAGGCCTAAAGCAGGTGGCAGCGAACCGCAAGACATAGAGAGCTCTGACCTATGCGTCGCCCTAGGCTCAAGAGGAAGACTAACTAGCTTACTGTTTGCAAAGTAAAAGGACCCATTTCACCCTAGTGGCATATTTGGCACATGATGCTAGGCTAAGATTTGTATAGACCAGTCAGCCCTCAAAGGACAATATGATCAACATCACACCGGCCACCTTTACTGCCCTAGAATTTACCTAGTACCTGTTTTTAGCTTTGGTTGACCTGAAAGCCAAGGTCATTTGGGGGGGGATCCATCTTGATATGAATTTCAAACCAAGACCAGGAGTCCGAAGATTTAGCCACTATGTCACTAGTGCTTCCTTTACTGTGTGTGAACCTGGCTGTCACAGTCGATGTCTTTCCACTAAGGGCATTCCCATGCATGCTTAGTCCACCGATGCAGCAGTCACTTTAAGGTACCTGTACTGATTGTTCCTTTGAGAAGTTAGTTATAGTATATTCTGTCATTCCCTCAAAGATAGCATAGACATACATCACCAAGCTTAACTCCTTGCTCACGCAATAGTGTTAGCATCAGAGATGAAACCCCAGCCTAGTCTGTACAGCGCTGATGATATCTGTTTGTGCTTTTTCCCATTTGCATTAGTGCATTACTTGCCAGCTGGTCAGCTCTTTCATTACCATTTACTCCTGCATGCCCAGCTTTTTACATAATTAAAGTATAGGGTGCTTTATTAATATCCTACCGCAAACAGGGGAAATCAACAGTTCACGGGACAGTCTAATATTTCAGGGGGTGGTAGATAGGCTGCATACAGTCGTGGGACATAGGCTGCATGCATTCGTGGGACCTAGGCTGCACTTTCTTGTGGGACGTAGGTGGGTTGCGGTTAGGGCCAGTTCTAGATGTTTTGGGGTCGTTAAAAGCATCAGAAAGCCGGAAAGCCCAGTCTTACCACCCTCTAAAATGTTGGACTGTCCTGTGACATCATCTGAGGGAAAGTATATTTATAAAGAACCAAGCGTAGACTACCTGCTGCAGTTTTATGAAGCGATTACCCAATAAGACCACGTCTGTATATTGTTGACGTTTATGCTGTAATTCACTTTACCTCTGGTAGAATATGATTCTTCTGTACCACCCATTGATTCGTCGAAGACAAAATTAGTTCGCCACATACCCTCTGACATTGACGATGAGCTCATTCGGACAGGGGAATCCTTGCAACAGTCCATGTTTGCCGGGGAGTCAACTCCAGCAAACTATCAGATCCCCAGATACCCCATTCAGGAAAAGGAGACCCGGGCGTATTTTGAACGCAGGCTTTCTACCAGGTGAGTGGTCCAGTTTTCTTACACATGTAAAGGTTAAAGTAATTCTTTGGTGTTCAGATCTTATAATGTACTAGGTCTCAACAGTTTATGTTTTATAATGTACTAGGTCTCAACAGTTTAGGTCTTATAATGTACTAGGTCTCAACAGTTTAGGTCTTATAATGTACTAGGTCTCAACAGTTTAGGTCTTATAGTGTACTAGGTCCCAACAGTTTAGGTCTTATAGTGTACTAGGTCTCAACAGTTTAGGTCTTATAGTGTACTAGGTCCCAACAGTTTAGGTCTTATAGTGTACTAGGTCTCAACAGTTTAGGTCTTATAGTGTACCAGGTCCCAACAGATTCAAGTGTTTAGGTCTTATAATGTACTAGGTCCCAACAGATTCAAGTGTTTAGGTCTTATAATGTACTAGGTCTCAACAGTTTAGGTCTTATAATGTACTAGGTCCCAACAGATTCAAGTGGTTAGGTCTTATAATGTACTAGGTCCCAACAGATTCAAGTGTTAAGGTCTTATAATGTACTAAGTCCCAACAGTTTAGGTCTTATAATGTACTAGGTCCCAACAGTTTAGGTCTTATAACGTACTAGGTCCCAACAGTTTAGGTCTTTTAATGTACTATGTCTCAACAGTTTAGATCTTATAGTGTACTAGGTCCCAACAGATTCAAGTGTTTAGGTCTTATAATGTACTATGTCTCAATAGTTTAGGTCTTATAGTGTACTATGTCTCAACAGTTTAGGTCTTATAATGTACTAGGTCCCAACAGATTCAAGTGTTTAGGTCTTATAATGTACTAGGTCCCAACAGATTCAAGTGTTTAGGTCTTATAATGTACTAGGTCCCAACAGATTCAAGTGTTTAGGTCTTATAATGTACTAGGTCTTATAGATTAGGTTTTATATTAGATTTCTACAGTTTAGGTCATATAATGTATTAGGTCTCAACAGATTGGAGTGTTTAGGTCTTATAAAGCACTAGGTTTTAACAGATTGGAGTATTTAGGTCTTCTAAAGTACAAGGTCTTAACAGATTTGAGAGTTTATGTTTTAAATGTGCTAGGTCTCAACATATTGGAATATTTAGGTCTTATAATGTACTAGGTCTCAACAGATTGGAGTATTCAGGTCTTATAATGTACTAGATTTCAACAGATTGGTGTGTTTGTTTAGGCCTTATACTGTACAAGTTGAGTTGTTTGCACATTTATTTTACAAATCTGGCTTATTTCTAATCAGTCTGTTAGTTCCTTGCTTCTCAGGCCCACACACTCCAAAATGTTTTCCAAAATGGAGCCCTGAAACCCATTTTGGGTTTGATGTCTTATAATTTATCAGTTCTCAACCTCAACATAATGAGTTTGCAAAACTGTCTTTCTTGTCACATTTTCTTCCCTGATTATTTCCAGACAAGGTTCTGCTAGGTGGCAACCAGTATTATGGGGCTGGGCTGCTACACATTTCAGGTTGTTGAGAACAATCTTTCCATTTGGAGTAATCTTTCGACTACTGTGGGTTGAATTGGGGGCTAACATCTAGTTAAGCAAGCAGGCAAACCACCCTGCCGCTGTGGAAGATATAGTTTGAAAGTAACCAGCGCACACATCTGCACACCCATATACATATACACACCCACCCACACATATGCACACCTACCCATGCATATGCACACACACTTAGACACATATGTACACCCACCCTGGCATATAAACAGCCACACATACACATACATATGCACACCCAGACACATATTCACAGCTACACATACATATCCATGCACACTTAAACACACCTATGCACATCCAAGCATACATATGCACACATAGGCACATATCCATGCTCTGTGTTGAGGGGCAGATGAAGTTTATGGTGGTTATAGCAAAAGGCAACGGACATCACTTGGTGTAGCAAAGCCTGGCATATAATATCACAACGTCTAGTTTGAGAATGGAGGTGAAGGCGGTCACTGCTGCCTTCCCTGGCTTGAGAATCAGCTGTACACACATGCCATGATTGTCGCTGACTTGCGGAGGATGTTGAGAAAAGAGGAGACAAGCATGCTCCATGCAGAGTGGCAAGCATCACTTCAGACGTCCTGGGTAGTTAGCATCCTTCGAATATTTTCTCCAGGTTATGCTGGTGTGTTGGGCAATGAGCAGAGAGATAGACTGGGCAGTTCTGCACCGCTTGGTGGTGAACTGATGTATGACAAGCTGGATGTTGTGAGGGCTCTTTGGGAGCGATTGAACAGTGCCGAGGCACAGATAGATCATTACGGTCTAAGGAGAATGGCGCTGCGAGGAGTTACAAGGGCATCTGGCCGGCGTTCGACACTCAGGGGAAAGGCAAGGTGGATATACAATCGGAACTGGAACCCTTCGCTTGCTGTTGAAGATGGGGACTGAGTGCTTATGGAGGTGTCCCTAGTGCTGTGATATCGATTCAGCATTCAACATTTGAATGACATTTATTAAAATTAACTTTCTGGGTACAGAATTCCTCCTGAAAGAAATGATCCAGTGAGGTAAACAAAGATTTTCTGTTGCTTTCAGAGTTATTTATTGTTTTCAAAATTATCCCCTGTGTTAACAGTTGTCCATTGTATGCAATGTTATCCATTATATTCAGTTATTCCTTTCATTCAAAGTTATACACTGTTTTCAAACTTTTCCACTATACTCAGAGTTAACCATTGTATTCAGAGTTATCCATTTTATTCATAGTTATTGTAGTTAAGCATGCTGACACAAAGAAAACATAGGGGAGGGTTTTAAAAAAAAAGAAGAGAGTTGGGGTCAGCCCACCCTAGCCTTACAAATATTCTGGGCCAAAAAAAATTAATGAAGATGCTTCATACACCTTGAACCCTGTGTATCCCTTCAAACTGTTTCTTCTGATAGAACAAAGGTATGTCCCCAACAGGTCCCTGTGTGGATTTCTGGGCCCCATTGTGGGGGACTGCATAAGAAAATAGACTGCAAGACCACATTAACAGGTTAAACTCAGCATGTAGTAAATACAACATGAAGATTAAAGTAAACAAAACCGAAACAATGCAAGTTAGTAGAACCCCTGCCCCACTACACATACAGCTGAATGGTTCTGCCCCTGAATCAAGTTAGGGAGTTTAAATATTTTGGAAGTATGATAACAGAAGATGGTATAATTGACAGAGAAATAGAAACCAGATGTCAGAAAGCAAGTGCACTTATATACTAATTGTCAAAATTATTAAGACATCCAAGCATAACTATGAGTGCAAAGAGACAGATTATTAATAGCATATTCATTCCAACATTAAGCTACCAGTGCCAAACATGGACACTATCTAAAGCCCATATACGCAAAATTACCACCTGCGAGATGAGGTGCCTGAGAAAAGCAGCCAACCTAACCATACAAGATCGAGTGAATAATGAAACTATCAGGCATATTGTGGGAACGACACCTTGTACTACATTCATTGAGAAACAGCAGATCAAGTGGTTTGGCCATCTCGTTAGAATGCAGCAAGATCAAATACCATCACAAGCACTACATCTCAGAAGATCAGCTACAAGAGCAAGAGGACGGCCGCGGAAAAATGGATCGACAACATTAAAGACACTCTACGCCTTCACGGCATGACAATAGCCAGTGGCAGCCAACATGCACTGGATCGCAAATTATTCCTGCCCACGACGCTTAACCGCAGAAGTGGTTTATGATGACGATGATGATTGTGGGGGAAAACAATAATAGTCCTACTGTCTCCCTAACAAGCATGTCATAAGAGCCAACTAAATAAGTGTTTTCATTTGAAGTCACAGTCAATCTTCATGAGAGGCAAGGAACCAAGAGTCTGCATACAAATAAGCCAGACCTGTGAAACAGATGTGCACATAACACTCGGGTTCTAGAACAAGAGGTGGATGAACATGCAGAACTATCTTCTGGAGTTTAGAACACGGAGAAGGAGAAGAGGCCTGGACAGTAGAGAGTGTAAATGAGAAAGAGAAAGAGAGAGAGGGAGAGGGAGAGAGAGAGATTGTTGAATCTTCTTCTTTTGTCAAAATCTGCTTGTGCCGCTAGGCGTCGCAGTCTATCAGATGATCGGCAACCGAGCCAGGGCGCGCTTAGTCGCTTCATATGCCGTGATGTTATGAAGTCTCAAGTTGTCCGTGACTCCTTCAATCCATCTTCTTCTTGGTCTTCCCCTGCCTCTTGGTGTTTCGATTTTCATGTTGTATGCTCTTGATGCTGGCATCGTTGGTTCCATTCTCATTAGGTGACCAAACCATTTCATTCTTTGCTTCTCAATAAATTTAACGATGGGTATGGTTCCAATAGTTCTTGTAATCACATCGTTTCTCACTCGATCTCTTCTGGTTTTATTCGCAGCCATTCTCAAACATCTCATTTCACAGGTGGTTAGTCTTCTCTCATGTTCTTTTGTTAATGTCCAAGTCTGACATTGATAACCTAATGTCTGTATAAAGATTGTATTTATAATTTGTCTTTTTATCTCAGCTGGGACAGCAGGGTGTTTTAAAATTGGGGCAAGCTGGTGTGCGACATTGTTGGCTTGTTGGATTCTTGCTTCGATCTCTCTGTCTATTTTACCATTGGATGTAAAGATACTTCCCAGGTATTTAAATTCTTGCACTTGTTTTAGGCTGTGATCTAGAATCTTTATGTCGATGGTCTGTTGCTCTCTACTTATGCTCATGACTTCTGTCTTTTCAATTGTTGAATACATTCCTGAAAATATTATACAAGAACTAAACGCCTACAACATTGTCTGTCTGTTCCAACCCAATATGGAGGACTAGGCATGGTAGAATGTTTAGCTTCAAAGTTATTTTTGCTTTTGACAGCGCTTGGTAATGCAGTTTCCGCATATGGATAGAAGGCTATAGTTGTGCTGCCTAAGCTGTTGAGTGAAGTGCTTGATGTGTCAATGTGAGCTGGGTTTTTAATGTGAGATGCCTTTCATTTGTGCAGCAGTTGATTTGTTGCATTCAATATGGCTGCTTGCCAGTTAATGTATTGGCTGGCAAAATACCCTATATAATTTGATGTGTGTAAAGCCAGCGCTTCATGATCAACTACTTCCAACAACCAAAAACTGCATTTCTGGTGGCGACTGTTGGCTTTGGCACCTCTAGCAACTGCCTTATACATTAACCGTGTGCGCATATTTCTGGATTTTGCCAGAACTAATTGCTTGTTTACCAGTTTTTTCAAATGGGATAGTGAGGGACATTTCATTTGATTTGCACTGCTGCAGGAATGAAGCAAGTGTGGGGTGACTCAGTTGCATTAAAGTTGAAACCTCGACTATGATTAGCATTGTCTCTGTGTGGTCAGCATTGTCCCGGGGCCAGGAGGCCACAAGTCTGGAGTGAACCCTGCCACTATTGGCTTCCATGATCTGATCACCAGTATTGAGCCGGAGCCCATCCAGGCTTTTCTGGACGTGGAGGAGGAGTGTGATCAACTGCCGGACTTCCAGAGAATTAGCATCACTGGCGAGGACACGAGTGGGGTCAGTTGCCATCCTGTTTATTCTCCGTATCACTGGTTTCATTGTCGTCATCGTCATGATGAACATTTTGTTATCACCATTGTCATCATCAACTCATCATCACAACCATCTCATCATCTTATATAATCACTACCAGCATCACTGTCAAATAATCGCCACCATCTCATCTCATCATCTCATATCATCACGACCATCTCATCTCATCAGCATTTATCATCACCACCAGCATCACTGTCAAATAATCACCACCATCTCATCTCATCATCTCATATAATCACCACCATCTCATCTCATCATCTCATATAATCACCACCATCTCATCTCCTCATCTCATATAATTACCACCATCTCATCTTCTCATCATCTCATAAAATCACCACTATCTCATCTCATCCTCTCATATAATCACCACCATCTCATCTCATCATCTCATAAAATCACCACTATCTCATCTCATCCTCTCATATAATCACCACCCTCTTCTCTCAACACCATAATTGTCATCATCACTATCTTATTATGCCTGGGATTCTGATAGTGAGACATGCATGGAATCCTGATAGTGGACATGCCTGAGACTTCAGTGGTGGGACATGCCTGAGACTTCAGTGGTGGGACATGCCTGAGACTTCAGTGGTGGGACATGCCTGAGACTTCAGTAGGTGGACATGCCTGAGACTTCAGTGGTGGGACATGCCTGAGACTTCAGTAGGTGGGACATGCCTGAGACTTCAGTGGTGGGACATGCCTGGGACTTCAGTAGGTGGGACATGCCTGAGACTTCAGTGGTGGGACATGCCTGAGACTTCAGTGGTGGGACATGCCTGAGACTTCAGTAGGTGGACATGCCTGAGACTTCAGTAGGTGGGACATGCCTGAGACTTCAGTGGTGGGACATGCCTGAGACTTCAGTAGGTGGGACATGCCTGAGACTTCAGTAGGTGGGACATGCCTGAGACTTCAGTGGTGGGACATGCCTGAGACTTCAGTAGGTGGGACATGCCTGAGACTTCAGTGGTGGGACATGCCTGAGACTTCAGTGGTGGGACATGCCTGAGACTTCAGTGGTGGGACATGCCTGAGACTTCAGTGGTGGGACATGCCTGAGACTTCAGTAGGTGGGACATGCCTGAGACTTCAGTGGTGGGACATGCCTGGGACTTCAGTAGGTGGGACATGCCTGAGACTTCAGTGGTGGGACATGCCTGGGACTTCAGTGGTGGGACATGCCTGGGACTGTGAAATAGTTTGGCAAAACTGTTATGTAGATCAGACCTAGATCTAAACTCAACTTCAAGAAACTAATCTACATAACAGTTTTTTCGTTTTTGGCCCAGGGCATGATGGCATTAAAAGTAAAAAAAAAAAAAAACCCACAACAAACGAGGCAGATGCCCTTCAGGCAGCACCTGCCTAGTATGTCAACTTTCAGTTAACTGACAATAATTAATGCTGTGATTAGCGATCAATAAGGATTATCATCACAGCATTCTGAACAGATCCATAGGTGCTCCGATCTCCTCCTCAAAAGCTCCACAAGTGTAAAACGACCGATGAAGCCTGTTCTGTGTTGGTTTATGAAACATCTTGTCCCCTTAGTGAAATGTTCATTTCCTGCAGCTCCAGGTTGCACCCCCCCCCCCTCCCCCCTATGCCCATCAGCCTAGTCAAGGATACGGAGTCATGCCCTTTGGCGTGCTTGTCCTCATGGTAAGTGCTGCGCATGGCAGTACAGGACCAGCCATAGCAACCACAGTGTCTGCACGCTCATTCCTTTGAATACCCGCATGACCTGGCATATAGATAAAGGTTGAAGCAGCCATTTGCAAAGTGCTTAGTGTTGCAATCCATTCTTATCTGATGAAACTAGCATGAATTTTTTGTAAAGCATGTTCATCGAGTTAGTAAGTATGCACGGTTTAATTAATGCTGTGCAAGAGGAGATTACATACATTGAAGAGGATAATGATTTCTCCCTGACTTGGATGCAAAGTTTTATCAGTTGGATCAACATGGCGTCAGTACCATTGAGGAGCCCACAGAAGCTATATCAGCCAGTACGGAATGGGTATTGTCATTGTAGACACACTAAAAAACTTGCCTGGGAGTAGATTGGAACACATGGATAATCCAGATGTGCAGTGAAGATGATCCTGAGGTGAATGATGAAGTCAGTAAAAGAAATCCTAGGCGGGGGATCAGTGATGGATGAAATGTCTTTGCTGTGATGAGACCAGTGTTCTGCACCTGAACTGATTTACCGGTTTTTGATATTTTTTCTGAGGCACATTTGAGGGGGAAGCTGCCATTGTTTAGTGGCTAGATGCTTGTCTGTGGATTGGAAGGTTGTAGGTTCAGCTCCTGAGGGAACCAGACTTGTCTTTCAAAAGTGACCCAAACTTCCAGGTTGACTCAGCCTTAAATGGGTACCAAGTACAGTCCTGGGAAGTAAAGGCTTCCGGTGTAATCTTGACCACATCCCCCACCGAGTGCTGATTGGTCTATAAAACAAAGCCCTATATGCCCATGCATGCTGAGTACACATGAAGGCATAGAAAAGGGTCCTTTTACATTTAAGATGTCCTACTATATGTTGTTGCCTATAAATTGAGTGAAATGTTTGATGCCAGGTTCCATTCAAAGACCTGCAGTCAGCCTCCAAGATGTTGGTGCGTGCACTGATGCTGCGGGAGAAGTACATGGCTCTGAGCCATCAATCCTTCCCTCGTGTAACCTCCAGGTTCCTGGAGACTCTTGAAGGAAATGAGTCTTTTGGTTCGATAAGGAATGCTGTTGAAAAACCGGTAACTCTTGAAGGTAACTGAAATGTTTATATGGGATGAAGGTTTTAGTTTTACGCTGTGCTAAAGACGTTGTTTTTTCTTTTTGAGCATTTGAGTTTGAGCAATTAAACCCTTTACAGGCTTGCTGATCCTGTCCTAGATTCAAGACGCCGACCAAAAGAGGGATGGATGGAGTAAAAGAGACACTACAGAAAAGAAATATGACATTAACATAAACTGCACAATTAGCAAAAGATAGGAAACTGCAATAGAGCCAGTCAAGTTTTAGGGCAAAAGCCACCAATTTTGAAATGCAATTATGTGAATATGAACACTAAAAGAACACTGTTCAACACTGGACGCTGTCTTCAGATGGCGGAAGGAAAATAGTCATCACAGAAATGAAATGTTTATGAACTATGCTAGGTGTAAAGATATCGGAAGGAGAGGCTGCAAATGAACTTTATAGGTGTACAACAAATCAAACGGTTTGGCCACATTACAAGATTGGCATCAGGCAGGGCACTACAGTGAGCAATGTTATACAGATACAGCGGTAACAGAGCCAGAGGTCAACCACACAGAACATAGACAGAAGAAAAATGAGACACACTGAAAAGTACTTTTAACGAAGTGAACAGAAGAGCCCATTCCAGAGATCTCTTCCTGCCCTGACACCGCGAGGCATTCCATGAGTAGAGAAAAGAAGAAGAAGATGAAACTGCACCATACTCCTCTCTGTGATGCTTCAGGGGATAAGCAGTCAGACATAAAAAGAAGAAGAAGAAGAAGAAGCTACAAACATGCTGTCTACATGAGGCAGGGAGATCCATGGTGGAGCTGTTGTCATTCTAAGAAGTGTTTACTTTAACTAACGTAACTCTGCTGCTACCAAGGAAGACACCATGAGTTGATGTGTAACTGATTTAACTTTTTTTGGTATGGCAAGAGTTAACATATTATATGAGTCATGGATTATCTGGCAGACATTAAGAAAGAAAACAGGGACTGCCACAGGTCGAGAGGCAGGTTCAAGGTCAGCATGTGTGGACAGCGGGGTCATTTGAACTGCTGCAGCATACATTGTCATTTCTGGCAGCTAGTTAGGCTTGCTGTCATTCCGTGATCTTTCCTTTCATTTCTGAACATGATGTTATGGCAAAACAATCTAGACCACCAAGCCGTACTTTACACTGACTTCACAGACCCTCTTGGACACTGTACATTGCATGAAAACAGAGCACTCTCACGCCACTGAACAAGTGTACAAGAAATAACCAGCAGCCACAAAGTTCTTTCAGCAGTATCAAGTTCTGTTAGTATCATCACAGTTAATGTACTTAAACAATTATCGCTACTACTAAAAGCTATATTCTATCACTATCACATTATCTGCTGCCACTTGACTACCTCAATGTGGCATGGTCAAGCTGCAGTTGTCCATCCCGTCCGCTTGGATGCCCAGTCGACGTCTACCCTCCGCTTGCCCACAACCTGGGCTCACTTCCCTTATCTCACACAGTTCATATGGCTTCTATGGCTTGTTTGCACACCATGACAATCACATGTTTAGTGCTTTACTGGCAGTCCCACATTTACACAATCTCTACTGGTACCAAGATCATGACAGGGGCCTTTGAGCTTAGTTAGTCAACAGATTATCCTCACTGCACATGGAACCAATCAGTCCATTAGTGCTTGGATCCCCTCCTTAGTAAATCCTGCGGTGTGTAGCAGCTCATGTGTTGATTTCTTATTCTTTTTTGGCTTCCTGTGTAGCCCTCTTGTCTGGCCACAACCCTCTTAACATCTTTAGAGCTTGCCTTTGAGCTGAAATGCTAGAGAAAGATTTTCAGAATACAATATATCAAGAAGAAAATGCCCAAGAAAAATATTCAGAATAATATATACCCAGAAGAAAATGCTGCAGAAAGATTTTTGGAATACCATATACCAAGAAGAAAATTGCATAACTGGGACGAACGATGAAGAAGAAGAAATGATATCATGCACACCTTAAATTTGGACAACCATTTGGGAGCCACCGATCTAAATTATTCTATTGATAATATCTGTTATGAGATTATCTTGAGATATCATCTCAATTATCTGAACCAGAACCTCATTATGGTTGAAGTCCCGTTCTCACACAGTAGTTTTAACTTTCCTTGTATATTTGTCCATGCAATAATTGTAATAGATATAGACCATTCTTGTATATTTGTCCATGCAATAATTGTAATGGAAATTAGGGCTGTACCGAATATTCGCTTCGTATTGGACCCAATAACTATTTGGTATTCGGTCGAATAGTTGCGGTCGGGCCGAATACGAATAGTGGTTACCTCACAACCGTTTCTGGACTGGTGGAAAAAAAACATCAAGACTTCCCACCTTGGTTTAAACTGTGAAGCATTTTCTTTGTGCACCACCTACGAGCGTAACAAGTGCCCCTTTATTTCCATCTTGCATGTGTTGCGAGTATAGTGTTTTTAGGTGTGTTGCTGTAGAAACAAAATGCAACACTTAAAAATGTAAGAGGGGCAGAAAAGCAAGTGTTCTAGTGTTGTCGGCTTGATTTCTTTGAGGGGAGTGTCCTCTTTGTTGATTGTTTGAAGTAACGGGAGTTCGTCATCATTTATGGGTGTCGTATCTGTTCTTTCGTCATCTTGTGGAAAGGGCAGCGGCTGAATGTTTTGATCGACGTTCGGTTTCTTGATTGTCTTTGTTGTTTGATCTTCTGGCGTTGGCCGCCCGGCGTCTGGTTTTGTGAGCTTGCGGATGGCTGGGCGACTTGTAAGAACGGCATTGTTTTCTTCGTCTGCGTTATTTTTGTTTTTGATGTTTCGCCTTGCGGGTTTTCATTTTGACTCTCTGTATTTGTCGTATTTTCCTGTTTAGTACAGCTGGAAATACCTTCAATGAGACAAAAAGCTGGCCTAATGCTGACTACATGGATTGAAGGTTTTTCATGGAGGTGTGTCAGCACACGAACTAATACGTGCTGCAGGAGATCACAGATTGTGGCGAGGCATAATTGCCCATGCCAGCCGGCAACGCACATGATGATGATGATTCACTATTCGTATTCGTATTCGGCCGAATAGTTGGTCCAGCTATTCGTATTCGGCCGAATAGTGAAAATCACTATTCGGTACAGCCCTAATGGAAATAGACCATTCTTGTATATTTGTCCTTGTAATAGTTGTAATGGAAATAGACCATTCTTATATATTTGTCCTTGCAATAGTTGTAATGGAAATAGACCATTCTTATAAATTTGTCCTTGCAATAGTTGTAATGGAAATAGACCATTCTTGTATATTTGTCCTTGCAATAGTTGTAATTGAAATAGACCATTCTTGTATATTTGTCCTTGCAATAGTTGTAATTGAAATAGACCATTCTTATATATTTGTCCTTGCAATAGTTGTAATGGAAATAGACCATTCTTATATATTTGTTCTTGCAATAGTTGTAATGGATCTAGACTATTCTTGTGTATTTGTTCTAGCAATAGTTGTAACGGAAATAGACCATTCTTGTATATTTGTTCTTGCAATAGTTGTAATGGAAATAGACCATTCTTGTATATTTGTTCTTGCAATAGTTGTAATGGATCTAGACTATTCTTGTATATTTGTCCTTGCAATAGTTGTAATGGATATAGACCATTCTTGTATATTTGTTCTTGCAATAGTTGTAATGGATCTAGGCCATTCTTGTATATTTGTTCTTGCAATAGTTGTAATGGAAATAGACCATTCTTGTATATTTGTCCTTGCAATAGTTGTAATGGAAATAGACCATTCTTGTATATTTGTTCTTGCAATGGTTGTAATGGAAATAGACCATTCTTGTATATTCGTCCTTGCAATAGTAGTAATAGAAATAGACCATTCTTGTATATTTGTCCTTGCAATAGTTGTAATGGATCTAGACCATTCTTGTATATTTGTCCTTGCAATAGTAGTAATGGAAATAGACCATTCTTGTATATTTGTCCTTGCAATAGGTTGTAATGGATATAGACTATTCTTGTATATTTGTCCTTGCAATAGTTGTAATGGATCTAGACCATTCTTGTATATTTGTCCTTGCAATAGTAGTAATGGAAATAGACCATTCTTATATATTTGTCCTTGCAATAGTAGTAATGGAAATAGACCATTCTTGTATATTTGTCCTTGCAGTAGTAGTAATGGAAATAGACCATTCTTGTATATTTGTCCTTGCAATAGTTGTAATGGATCTAGACCATTCTTGTATATTTGTCCTTGCAATAGTAGTAATATAAATAGACCATTCTTGTATATTTGTCCTTGCAATTGTTGTAATGGAAATAGATCATTCTTGTATATTTGTCCTTGCAATAGGTTGTAATGGATATAGACCATTCTTGTATATTTGTTCTTGCAATAGGTTGTAATGGATCTAGACCATTCTTGTATATTTGTCCTTGCAATAGTAGTAATGGAAATAGACCATTCTTGTATATTTGTCCTTGCAATAGTAGTAATGGAAATAGACCATTCTTGTATATTTGTCCTTGCAATAGTTGTAATGGATCTAGACCATTCTTGTATATTTGTCCTTGCAATAGTAGTAATGGAAATAGACCATTCTTGTATATTTGTCCTTGCAATAGTAGTAATGGAAATAGACCATTCTTGTATATTTGTCCTTACAATAGGTTGTAATGGATCTAGACCATTCTTGTATATTTGTCCTTGCAATAGTAGTAATGGAAATAGACCATTCTTGTATATTTGTCCTTGCAATAGTAGAAATGGAAATAGACCATTCTTGAATATTTGTCCTTGCAATAGGTTGTAATGGATATAGACCATTCTTGTATGTTTGTCCTTGCAATAGGTTGTAATGGATCTAGACCATTCTTGTATATTTGTCCTTGCAATAGTAGTAATGGATCTAGACCATTCTTGTATATTTGTCCTTGCAATAGTAGTTATGGAAATAGACCATTCTTGTATTTTTTTCCTTGCAATAGTTGTAATGGATCTAGACCATTCTTGTATATTTGTCCTTGCAATAGTAGTAATATAAATAGACCATTCTTGTATATTTGTCCTTGCAATAGTTGTAATGGAAATAGACCATTCTTGTATATTTGTCCTTGCAATAGTTGTAATTGAAATAGACCATTCTTGTATATTTGTCCTTGCAATAGTTGTAATGGAAATAGACCATTCTTATATATTTTTCCTTGCAATAGTTGTAATGGAAATAGACCATTCTTATATATTTGTTCTTGCAATAGTTGTAATGGAAATAGACCATTCTTGTATATTTGTTCTTGCAACAGTTGTAATGGATCTAGGCCATTCTTGTATATTTGTTCTTGCAATAGTTGTAATGGATCTAGACTATTCTTGTATATTTGTTCTTGCAATAGTTGTAATGGAAATAGACCATTCTTGTATATTTGTCCTTGCAATAGTTGTAATGGAAATATACCATTCTTGTATATTTGTTCTTGCAATAGTTGTAATGGAAATAGACCATTCTTTTATATTTGTCCTTGCAATAGTAGTAATATAAATAGACCATTCTTGTATATATGTCCTTGCAATAGTTGTAATGGAAATAGACCATTCTTATATATTTGTCCTTGCAATAGTTGTAATGGAAATAGACCATTATTGTATATTTGTCCTTGCAATAGTTGTAATGAAAATAGACCATTCTTGTATATTTGTCCTTGCAATAGTTGTAATGGAAATAGACCATTCTTATATATTTGTCCTTGCAATAGTTGTAATGGAAATAGACCATTCTTATATATTTGTTCTTGCAATAGTTGTAATGGAAATAGACTATTCTTGTATATTTGTTCTTGCAATAGTTGTAATGGATCTAGACCATTCTTGTATATTTGTCCTTGCAATAGTTATAATGGAAATAGACCATTCTTATATATTTGTCCTTGCAATAGTTGTAATGGAAATAGACCATTCTTGTATATTTGTCCATGCAATAATTGTAAGGGATATAGACCATTCTTGTATATTTGTTCTTGCAATCGTTGTAATGGATATAGACCATTCTTGTATATGTATGGTTGTCCTTGCAGTAATTGTTATGGATATAGACCATTCTTGTATGTGTGATTGTTCCTGAAATAATTGATGTTAATCTTTTTGTAATCATTCAACAATAGAAAACATCAAAATAATGGTGTATGACGAAGGTAAACTTTTGAACAGTGGCAGCAGTGACACCGCTTTTGTTGCTACTCTTCTTTACCACTTTATGTTTTGAGTTGAGGCAGCATTCTGTTCATTTATGTTGAGAATTGTTTTTACATTTTCTATTTGAGTCTCAGTTTGAAATTTGTTATCAAAGAAACTTGTGTTGTTGAAAAAGAACAAAAAAAATATGGCATTGCGAGTGGCCATGCGGGCCAGGATTTTAACTCCTTGAGTCTCAAGGAACACATCATACGCCTGGAAGCCCTAGAATGCAAGATGTGCCAAATTAAAGTCTGTTTTAACTACCCCTTAGGCCTGTGATGCTAAACCCTCTGGGGCTTAAAGAGATAAAACACAGCAGTTAATTGTATTTTTGTTGTTGTTGATTGCTATTGAATATTGGTACATGTAATGGAAGTCTCCCCACGCCCCGCCCATATACACACTAGCTCACTTCTGATTGATAGTTACTAATCCTGTCACTCTGGCACAAGGTTACAGGGGTGTTCCGTAAAGCTGTTAATATAGCATGTTGTATATTTCAGCACACCAGCGCTTTTAACACTCCAAAAACATAGAGAGACTGGCTCTAACACCCCCCCCACGCCCATCTCTCCCCCAGAGAGTGCTGCAACCTATGTCACAGGCATTCTCTTTCTCAGAATGAAAATGTAAATGAAAGACAACGCAGAAAGCAAACAACAGAGCAGGACACAACTGTAACAGTCAGGAAAGTTGACCAGCCCAACAAACTTGTGAATGAAAAGTGACGCACTCTATTTGGGAAGATTAACGTTACTTTAACCTGAATTTTTTTTCCCAGTTGTAGATGTTCAAACATTTGTTAGCGTCAGATGGATACCATCAGATGGAAGATGCATAACTGAAATAAGAAACAGAATTGGACAGGCAAAAACTGCATTTTATAAAATGAAAAACATCTTGTCCAATATATCCTTGTCATTGAGAGTTAAAAAAAGAATTCTTGCTTGCTACATACATCCAGTTTTAACATATGGATGTGAATCTTGGACAATTGGTAGGAAGGCCAAACAATTTTTAGAGGCCTCAGAGATGTGGTTTTACAGAAGAATGCTTAGAATACCTTGGACAGCCAAAAAGAGCAACCAAGAGGTTTTGAAAGAGGCGGGAGCCCAAAGACAACTTATCACAGACATCAGAAAAAGACAGTCATAATTTTTCGGCCATGTTATGAGAAGAGGGAAAATAGAACATGTTGTGACCACTGGAAAGATCTGTGGAAAAAGGGGTAGAGGAAGACAACGAGAGAAGATGCTTGACAGTCTTGTTGCATGGCATGGAGGTGTGTCGGCACCCAAAATGATACATGCTGCAGGAGATCGCAGATTATGGAGAGACATGATCGCCCACGCCAGTCGGCAAGGCACCTGATGATGATGATGATGATAGCGTCCTTTATCTAGTGCACCTCTGGTCATGAATGGATAAATGAAGAAATCGATCTAGAGCAGATGTTTGCTAAGGGCTCCACGTTCACCTCCCAGGGCTACCAGTGCTCTAGGAAATGAAACAGAATTAAAGATTAAAAAGCATCAAAAGTAGCTAAGGGGCACAGCCAAAAGATATTCATTCTAAATAGGGCCCAGCAAGCCAAAATAATTGTGAAACACTGATCTAGAGAATTCTTTTCTGACCACGCTGTCTGTAGAGATTTCAGAGAGAACATTGTCTCAACACTACATTGAAACTTGTACACAACTAAATGGAACCTCTTTGCAGGGGGAAAGTTGATTAAGAGAATGTTTCCGTATGTCTGAAATAAAATTAGATTATAAGAAGAAGAAAAAAGTCAAAAAAAAAAAAAGAAAAAGAAAAGATGAAATAGGAGAAAATGAATAAAGGGTAGGAAAGTTATAAAGAGAAGAAGGACACGAGGGGAAGGAGACAACAGGAAAAGGAAAACAAGAGGAGTAGGAGCTGGAGGAGAGAAAGAGGAGGAGGCTATTATGTATGAAATAATATATCATGTATGATTGGCTATCTTCTAATGGACTACTCAATATGTCTTGTGTGATTGGCCATTTTTCATGAATAGTAATCAGTGTCTCATGTGATTGGCTATTCTTCTAATGGACTACTCAATGTGTCTTGTGTGATTGGCCATTTTTCATGGATAGTAATTAATGTCTCATGTGATTGGCTGTTCTTCATATAAACTTCTCAGTGTGTCTTGTGTGATTGGCAATTTTTCATGAATAGTAATGAATGTGTCATGTGACTGGCTGTATAATAGTTAAGATGTCATATGTGATTAACTCTTTTTCATTCATAGTCACAAGAGGTTGGCTATTCTTTGTGTAAAATAATTAACATATCATTTGTGATTGGTTATTGTTCATTGTGGTTAGCTATTTTTTTATAGTAATTAACATATCTTGATGTGTGATACGGATATGCGCATCAGGCAAGTGGGAAGAGCACCCATATTTTTACAGACCAATCGGCACTAGATGGGTAATGTGGTCAGCATTATGCCAGGCCGTCTTTACTTCCCCAGGACATACATCCTGGTACCCATTTTAGGCTGGGTCAACCTGCTACGCCCCATACCATGATAAAATTCCACGCAACCCTTAACCCAAAGAATTAGATAAATACTGTGTCATTCAAGAAAATCCATTTAAATTGACAAAATAACACACACACCAAACATGTCTCATCTGACCATCATTTCAGAGGTGGCTACATAAGTACACTCTTCTTATTCTTTTTCTTTTTCCTTTTCTTCTTCTGCGTTCACCCGAGGATGTAAATGCATTGTGCCTGTTTACGACATGGCTGCAATATTTGTGCCCTGACACATCTGACTTCTGCAGGCATTTGTTGCTCAAGGTCACCTTCCTGAATAAGTACATTTATATTATCACTGTTACAACTTCAAGGCATTTGGGTAACCCCATAAGTTCTCTATTTCTTTCTTTTGTGCCTTCTGGGACCATACTGTGTTGAAGGGAAAAAACAGAATAGATCCACTGACTCCAACAAGCATGTTTTAAGAGTCGACTAAATAGGGATGTTTCCTTTGAAGTCTGAGTGTATCCACCTGAGAGGTGAAGAACCAACAGTCTGCATACAAATAAGCCAGATCTGTAGAATGGATGTGCATACAAAACTCAGGTTCTGGAATAAGACTGAAGTCCAGAAGTGGATGAACAACCACAACTTTCTACCAGAGTTTACAGCTGATGAATGCTAAAAAGAAAAATAAGAGCTATGTTTCTGTGCCAGTAAAGACAACACAAAATGCCTGTCCTGTGAGAAAAGCATTTCTGGAAAAATCTGATAGCTTACACACAATAAATGCATAAGGCAGCTGCCAGAGGTGCCTCCACCAACTGTTTGTCACTAGACTTGCAGTTGGCCATTGATGGAAGCATCAGTCATGATAAACTTGCAGGTGTATACACATATTACTGCATAAGGCATGCCAGTTCTACGGCAACCAGCCACCTGCCAACAAAAGTACATCATAAACGAAATGCCACTGCAGATTATCATAACTTTGTTCTTGCTTTGTTTCCAATCCTAGACAGTTCTTCATCTGCTACACCAGAGCCATCTGAATTCACAATGTCCTCGACCGAAGTTATTCCCATAGGCAAGACAGGATGCATTGGTTTTGTTCCAGAAATAATTGTTCTTTTTTGTGTGTGTGAATTTGGTTTCCAACTTTTTTCTTCTGTTAGTTGTGAATTGTCGTATATGCCAGCTTTTCCTAGCATGTGTTCTGTTTTGTTGCCTTCTTGGAAAAATAGAGCCAGAACTAATAACTCTGAAATGCAATAACAGCTATGATGCCACTAGTTTTTTTGACCAATGTTCGTTGAAGTATTTTTCAAAGTGTGCCTCTTGCACGAGCATGAATTTGTATACATGCAACCTGTTATTCACAAAGCTACTTACAGTATGAACTTACAATATATACATGTGTATAGGCCATAAGTACATGAAGAAGGAGAGCTGGCAAGAGACCAGGTTTTTTCATGCAGACCGTGTTGAGAGCGACGTTCTTCAAAGGATCTGCTACATAATGATGATGATGATGATAGGCCACACACAGTTTCTGAAATGATAATTTAAGAAAAAAAATAATTTCCTTTGAGAGACAGAATCGAAACAGTAGTACATGTAAGCATGAAAGATCAGCTGCATAAGAAAACAGTTACAGTTGTAAATATAAGTTACAAGTAGTGTGTTATGTGCAAGTGAGTTTAAAGCCAGTTGTGGCTGGGCAAGTAGCTGTGGCCAATATTGGCACAGTGACTTCCTAACACCTCCCAAGAGAAACTGTTTGGTTTCCAAGACGTGTTCTGAAGTTACAATCTGTTTGGTTTCCAAGATGTGTTCTGAAGTTACAATCTGTTTGGTTTCCAAGATGTGTTCTGAAGTTACAATCTGTTTGGTTTCCAAGATGTGTTCTGAAGTTACAATCTGCTTGGTTTCCAAGACGTGTTCTGAAGTTACAATCTGTTTGGTTTCCAAGATGTGTTCTGAAGTTACAAACTGTTTGGTTCCCAAGATGTGTTCTGAAGTTACAATCTGTTTGGTTTCCAAGATGTGTTCTGAAGTTACAATCTGTTTGGTTTCTAAGACGTGTTCTGAAGTTACAATCTGTTTGGTTTTCAAGACATGTTCTGAAGTTACAATCTGTTTGGTTTTCAAGACATGTTCTGAAGTTACAATCTGTTTGGTTTTCAAGACATGTTCTGAAGTTACAATCTGTTTGGTTTCCAAGACGTGTTCTCAAGTTACAATCTCTTTGATTTCTAAGACGTGTTCTGAAGTTACAATCAGTTTGGTTTTTAAGACATGTTCTGAAGTTACAGAAGACACACAGCTACAGCATGAAGGCAATTGGAAATGCCGATGAAACTCCCGTTTGTTAATAAAGTTGGTACAAGAGACAGGCAGGCCTAATATCTCAAATATAAGTCACACCCTACTTTTATCAATGATTTTCGGTTAAAGTAGATGCCTGTAGACATGTAAATACAGTATTTACACATTCAGTGACTTGATCTTAACACGTCTACCAGTTTGCAGACTTTATGGCTTTTTTATAATGTGTTTGTTTTTTTTGGTTCAAATTTTATTCCATTTGTTAAAATTGTACTTAATTACAAATATATGGACGTTATTGTAAATCCTAGAGGGAGACCGAGAGAACAGTCTGACATCATGTCATGGAAGAATCATGTGCGTCAGAGTTGATTAAAAGTACACGAGACAGAAGGTTGTGGATGGACATGACTACCAGTGCCACACGGCGTGGACTTTGAGAAGAAGATTGTGAATCCTCTTAATATTTTCTATATTAAAATTTAAATACATCTTTTCACATGTGCCATTTTACGGATGTAATTACTTTATTATAAATTCTGTTCTGATTGTTGTAAATCTGATACAGACCTACCTATTTACAGGTGTAATGACTATGGTTTAAGTAGGATGTCTATATTTAATTGTTCACACAGTACATATACTAAAACTGGAATGATATAGAGAAGATTAGCATGGCCCCTGCGCAAGGATGACACACAAATTGGTGAAGCATTTCATATTTTTCGAGGAGCCACGTTAGCCTAGTCAATAGGAGGCTCACTTTCAAATCCAGCTGCAACTCGCTGCAGCCACGGTTGGTGTTCGAAACTGGGCGGTTCCTGTGGTTCACCAAGCCTCTAGGAAATGGGTACTAGAGTGACACTGGGGTAAATGGAGGAATGTCGCTGTAACTACAGAGTTACGTGCGAACGGCGACACTGGTGGACAGTTTCTTATCAGATGTCCTTACTGGTGGCAGAGCACTTATGGTTTATAACCGTGTGCAATGACGCTGGTTCACACACACACACACACACACACACACACACACAAGTATTTAATTACATTTCTTCAAATATATCTGCCTGTTTTGAAAATCGAGCGTCAGCATATATTTCAGGGCTTTTTAACTGATGGCCTGTGGGCCGAATCTGGCCCTTAATGGCCCGCGGATCATTATATTAATCATCTTTTTACGCTGGGCCACAGGTCACTGGCCAGGACAATCTCCATTTTCAATATTTTGGCCCCGGAGAAAAATAAATTCAAAAGCCGTGATGTATTTCATGAATATATTTTGTCTTTAAGTTTTGTTCTCTTTTAAATTTCCTAGTTGAGAATCGAGTCAGTTTTTTTATAAGTAATTGACCTTGACTTCCAGGTCAGCCCCAGTCTAAAATAAGGTACCAGGAAATTTTGTGGGTAATAAAGGCAGGACTGGTGTCACCATCTATTGAGTGCTAAACGGGAACTAATTTTAAAAAATTGTTAACATTATATGTACTGTATCAGTAATTTGAAAAGGGGCCTGTACTCTGTTTGGGAGTCGCCATGTTTTTTTTTTTTTTTTCAAAAATGACCTTGACTCCCAGGTTGACCTAGCCTTGAGTGGGTACCAGGTGCAGCCCTGTGAAGTAAAGGCGGCCCAAGGGATGCTGACCACATCACCCACCAAGTGCCGATTGAACTATGAAAATAGACGTCTAGCCCTATATTCCCAATACGCTTAAAGGTGTAGAAAGATGTCTGTATATTGAATTACATTTCTTCAAATTTAACTGCTAACTTATTGTCCTGCCTGTTACTCTATCTACATTTCTCTTAAACTTTTTAAGTTGAGGTGACAGGAAGTCCTGGTCACTGTAATCTTTTTGCTCCGAGAAGCCTGAATCTTGTCACAGCATGAAGCGTACATTATTTATATATATATATACACTTATATACATATATATATACATATATATATATACATATATTTTTAATGCCCTGGGGAATGATTTAATGTTCATGTTTATTTATTAGCCCTTTATATATGTTGATGTATTTAAGAGACAAAATCAAAATGTAGATGAATACATTAAGAAAAATATATATTAGTGAGGTCACGGCATGAACCATGCAATATATATACATACCCTTTAATATATGTTCATATATTTAGGAGATAACATAAAAATACATTTAAAAAACACATATTAGTGACCTATGTAATGTTTTTTTTTTTTAAACAGTATTTTCCATGAAATTCCTATTTTTTTAAGGCATTCAAAGGCTGAAAGGGCTATACATTGTATGGGAATTTGAACACATGACCACAGAGTCGCCAGACAGATATACTATGCATTGGACTGTCCTGAGTAAAACATACCAAGCAGGTGGTTTGGGATCTGTTATACATAAAATATCTTCCCTTTAACTCTTTAACTCTTTGAGTCCCAAGGAACGCATCATACGTTCATAGATTCCTACCTAGAAGCCCAATGAACGCAAGATGCGACGATTTTACGTCTATCTTTACTACCCCTTGGGCCTGTAATGCTTAACCCCCTGGGACTCAAAGAGTTAAGTCCCAAGGAATGCATTATACGTTCATAGGTTCCTACCTAGAAGCCCAATGAACGCATGATGCGCCGATTTTATGACTCTGTTTACTACTCCCTGGGCCTGTGATGCTAAACCCCTTGGGGCTCAAAAAGTTTACATACTTTTATTTGTGACATTGTTTTGTCCATTTTTTTGACTGTTTCAGCCTGATTGACAAGTGGCTGAACTGTTAAGAATGCTGGGTTCTCATGAGGACGATCCAGGTTCAAATCCTCAATAAAGTCATCGGTTTTTTCTGATGGAAGTACAAATGAAATCCTAACCTGAACAGTCCATGGTGACGGCATTTCTTCTTCTTCATGTTCACATGCTGTAAACTCTTGCAGAAAGTTCTGGCTGTTCATCCACTTTTTGACTGCAGTCCAGTTCCAGAACCTGAGTTTTGCGTGTGCATCCGTTTTACAGATCTAACTCATTTGTATGCAGACTGTTGGTTCCTTCCCTCTCAGGCAGATGCACTCTGACTTTAAAGGAAGGTCCCAGTTAGTGGACTCTTAGGACATGATTTTGGGTAGGCAGTGGGTGTACTCTTTTTACCCTATAATAGGGCCCCGGAACCCACACGGGGATGGGGTGACAGCACTAACCTTGCCCCCCTGAATTCTCAGGCTTAAAGAGGGGGGGGGGGGGGGTCTAACAAGAATCTGGAATGACAACATGGAGAGGACTAATTACTGTACACTTGTTCAACAAGTGAAAGAGAGAAAGATGTGCGAGTTTTGTGTGTTGGTGCATCCATCAATACCCACCCTTGACCCTAATGGGTCAAGGTTATATTGTTGACACCACTGAAGTGGTAAATGCTGTCAGTAGTTTCTTTGTGTGTGGCAGTTTCATCCTGACATTGAATAACTTCCCTTTGCCGGACAGAAAACCCCATCCATCCGCCACCTGCGACTGGTGATCCCTTCAAGGTAAGGTTCCTGTCCTCTGCCAACTACATCTTCAAGTTCCACAAAGGAGTCATGAGTGTCTATCCAGATCAAGAGTCAGCTGACCAGGATAAGCCCTTTGATTGGCCACATTCCAACCTGGAGGAGTTTATCAATGACCAGAACATGATGTTTGCTTTGATCAGTGATGGGCCCTTGTGAGTCTCCGACATTTAGTTTGTTATATTTCTTCTCCTCCTTCTCCTCCTGCTCCTGCTTCTTCTTCTTCTTCTTCTTCTTCTTCTTCTTCTTCTTCTTCTTCTTCTTCTTCTTCTTCTTCTTCTTCTTCTTCTTCTTCTTCTTCTTCTTCTTCTTCTTCTTCTTCTTCTTCTTCTTCTTCTTCTTCTTCTTCTTCTTCTTCTTCTTCTTCTTCTTCTTCTTCTTCTTCTTCTTCTTCTTCTTCTTTTCTTCTTCTTCTTTTCTTCTTCTTCTTCTTCTTCTTCTTCTTCTTCTTCTTCTTCTTCTTCTTCTTCTTCTTCTTCTCTTCTTCTTCTTCTTCTTCTTCTTCTTCTTCTCCTCCTCCTCCTCCTCCTCCTCCTCCTCCTCCTCCTCCTCCTCCTCCTCCTCCTCCTCCTCCTCCTCCTCCTCCTCCTCCTCCTCCTCCTCCTCCTCCTCCTCCTCCTCCTCCTCCTCCTCCTCCTCCTCCTCCTCCTCCTCCTCCTCCTCCTCCTCCTCCTCCTCCTCCTCCTCCTCCTCCTCCTCCTCCTCCTCCTCCTCCTCCTCCTCCTCCTCCTCCTCCTCCTCCTCCTCCTCCTCCTCCTCCTCCTCCTCCTCCTCCTCCTTCTCCTTCTTACTCCTCCTCTTCGTTTTCCTCTTCTTCTACTTCTTAGTAATCAGTTTAATCATGGGTATGCTTTAAAATATGTATTTTTCACCCTGATAGCAGATTAATCAGCTTAACCCCTTTCTATTTAATTTAATTACCACAGAAGTCTAAGATCGAGTGTGGTGGCTACATGGCTACTCTAAGGTGGTTACATTGTTACTCTGTGGTGGTTACTTGGTTACTCTGTGGTGGTTACATGGCTACTCTGAGGCGGCTTCATGGCTACTCTGAGGTGGTTACATGGTTACTCTGAGGTGGTTACATGGCTACTCTGTGGTGGTTACATGGTTACTCTGAGGTGGTTACATGGTTACTCTGTGATAGTTACTCTGTGGTGGTTACATGGTTACTCTGAGGTGGTTACATGGTTACTCTGTGGTGGTTACTTGGTTACTCTGTGGTGGTTACATGGCTACTCTGAGGCGGCTACATGGCTACTCTGAGGTGGTTACATGGCTACTCTGGTGGTTACATGGTTACTCTGAGGTGGTTACATGGTTTCTCTGTGGTAGTTACATGGTTACTCTGTGGTGGTTACATGGTTACTCTGTGGTGGTTACATGGTTACTCTGAGGTGGTTACGTGGTTACTCTGTGATGGTTACATGGTTACTCTGTGGTGGTTACATGGTTACTCTGAGGTGGTTCATGGTTACTCTGTGGTGGTTACATGGTTACTCTGTGGTGGTTACATGGTTACTCTGTGGTGGTTACATGGTTACTCTGAGGTGGTTACATGGCTACTCTGGTGGTTACATGGTTACTCTGAGGTGGTTACATGGTTACTCTGAGGTGGTTACATGGCTACTCTGTGGTGGTTACATGGTTACTCTGTGGTGGTTACATGGTTACTCTGAGGTGGTTACATGGTTACTCTGAGGTGGTTACATGGTTACTCTGTGGTGGTTACATGGTTACTCTGAGGTGGTTACATGGTTACTCTGTGGTGGTTACATGGTTACTCTGTGGTGGTTACATGGTTACTCTGTGGTGTTTACATGGTTACTCTGAGGTGGTTACATGGTTACTCTGTGGTGGTCACATGGTTACTCTGTGGTGGTTACATGGTTACTCTGAGGTGGTTACATGGTTACTCTGAGGTGGTTACATGGTTACTCTGTGGTGGTTACATGGTTACTCTGAGGTGGTTACATGGTTACTCTGTGGTGGTTACATGGTTACTCTGAGGTGGTTACATGGTTACTCTGTGGTGGTTACATGGTTACTCTGAGGTGGTTACATGGTTACTCTGTGGTGGTTACATGGTTACTCTGTGGTGGTTACATGGTTACTCTGTGGTGGTTACATGGTTACTCTGTGGTGTTTACATGGTTACTCTTATACTTCTACTGGTAAGACACGGGGTCCTGTTCACATTTCCAGGCCCATCTACACACTACCTGATCTTTCATTCATACTTTCTCAGGCTCTTCTACGTCGGGGGAAGGGGGGGGGGGGGTCACGTTGTCTTCCCTCTAGTTACCTCAGGGCTGATGTCACGCGTTCTGTACTACATGATGACACAGCTTTCAACAGCCTCAGAACAACTGGCCCTAACCCAAACCCCCCTACCCACAGCCTAAACCTAGGTCACACAAGAGACTTTTTTTAAGAAAGCGGTACAACGTGACACCCCTCTGACCTAGATCAGACTGAGAAAGTGTGTTGGGCAGGGAAACATGAACAGGTCCAGACAGAGTAGCAAGAGACAATGATATTTGTGTATTTCAGTGGACAGTATTCATGTTTTGTGCTTCTTTGTGTGTTGATGTCAAGTCTGTATGTATTAATTCAGAGATGGGGCTATATTGGACACAACCTATGCAGAAACCAGAGAATCACCAAACAGGCACTAAAATGGGAGATAGAGGGATTGAGAAAGCCAGGAAGCCCAAATAAAACCCTAAAATGAACGTTGTTGAGAGAGGCTAAAGGTACTGAACTGGATTCCATCCATGAAATTGAAGAGACTACACAGGATACAACAGGATGGATCAATAGACTGCGACCCCTATGTGACATAAGGACACAACAAGACGAGGATGATGATGATGATTGTTTTTGTGCTGAGTGACATTTATTGTGAATGTGGTGTCTGCTGCCTGTTGCAGGAAATCCTTTTGTTACCGCCGATTGTGCTACCTGTCCCACAAGTACCAGCTGCATGTGATACTCAATGAGCTGAAGGAGTCTGCCGCACAGAGGGACGTCCCACACCGGGACTTTTACAATGTCCACAAGGTAGGAGATGTTGGCTTGGGTGCCTGCCCAGTTCTTTTTCCATAGCCCTCAGGACACTTTGTCAGTGCTTGATTGTTTCCTTAAAGTCCACTAATTGTGTCAGCCCATGTTTGTTTCCTTGATGTCCACTAACTGTAGCAGTCCATGATGTCCACTAATTGTAGCAGTCCATGATGTCCACTGATTGTGTCAGTCCATGATGTCCACTGATTGTGTCAGTCCATGATGTCCACTGATTGTGTCAGTCCATGATGTCCACTAATTGTGTCAGTATGTGAACATTTCCATGATGTCCAGTGATTGTGTCCGTCCATGATGTCCACTAATTGTGTCAGTATGTGAACATTTCCATGATGTCCAGTGATTGTGTCAGTCCATGATGTCCACTAATTGTGTCAGTAGGTGAACATTTCCATGATGTCCAGTGATTGTGTCCGTCCATGATGTCCACTGATTGTGTCAGTATGTGAACATTTCCATGATGTCCAGTGATTGTGTCAGTCCATAATGTCCAGTGATTGTGTCAGTATGTGAACATTTCCATGATGTCCAGTGATTGTGTCAGTCCATGATGTCCACTGATTGTGTCAGTCCATGATGTCCACTAATTGTGTCAGTATGTGAACATTTCCATGATCTCCAGTGATTGTGTCAGTCCATGATGTCCACTGATTATATCAGTATGTGAACATTTCCATGATGTCCAGTGATTGTGTCAGTATGTGAACATTTCCATGATGTCCACTGATTGTGTCAGTATGTGAACATTTCCATGATGTCCAGTGATTGTGTCAGTCCATGATGTCCACTGATTGTATCAGTATGTGAACATTTCCATGATGTCCACTGATTGTGTCAGTATGTGAACATTTCCATGATGTCCAGTGATTGTGTCAGTCCATGATGTCCACTGATTGTATCAGTATGTGAACATTTCCATGATGTCCAGTGATTGTGTTAGTATGTGAACATTTCCATGATGTCCACTGATTGTGTCAGTATGTGAACATTTCCATGATGTCAACTGATTGTATCAGTATGTGAACATTTCTCCATGACGTCCACTGATTTTATCAGTATGTGAACATTTCCATGATGTCCAGTGATTGTGTCAGTCCATGATGTCCACTGATTGTATCAGTATGTGAACATTTCCATGATGTCCACTGATTGTGTCAGTATGTGAACATTTCCATGATGTCCACTGATTGTGTCAGTCCATGATGTCCACTGATTGTGTCAGTATGTGACATTTCCATGATGTCCAGTGATTGTGTCAGTCCATGATGTCCAGTGATTGTGTCAGTCCATGATGTCCACTAATTGTGTCAGTATGTGAACATTTCCATGATCTCCAGTGATTGTGTCAGTCCATGATGTCCACTGATTGTATCAATATGTGAACATTTCCATGATGTCCAGTGATTGTGTCAGTCCATGATGTCCAGTGATTGTGTCAGTCCATGATGTCCAGTGATTGTGTCAGTCCATGATGTCCAGTGATTGTGTCAGTCCATGATGTCCAATGATTGTGTCAGTCCATGATGTCCAGTGATTGTGTCAGTCCATGATGTCCACTGATTGTGTCAGTATGTGAATATTTCCATGATCTCCAGTGATTGTGTCAGTCCATGATGTCCACTGATTGTGTCAGTATGTAAACATTTCCATGATGTCCAGTGATTGTGTCAGTCCATGATGTCCAGTGATTGCGTCAGTCCATGATGTCCAGTGATTGTGTCAGTCCATGATGTCCACTGATTGTGTCAGTATGTGAATATTTCCATGATCTCCATTGATTGTGTCAGTCCATGATGTCCACTGATTGTGTCAGTATGTAAACATTTCCATGATGTCCAGTGATTGTGTCAGTCCATGATGTCCAGTGATTGCGTAAGTCCATGATGTCCAGTGATTGTGTCAGTATGTGAACATTTCCATGATGTCCAGTGATTGTGTCAGTCCATGATGTCCACTAATTGTGTCAGTATGTGAACATTTCCTTGATGTCCAGTGATTGTGTCAGTCCATGATGTTCACTGATTGTGTCAGTATGTGAACATTTCCATGATGTCCAGTGATTGTGTCAGTCCATGATGTCCACTAATTGTGTCAGTATGTGAACGTTTCCATGATGTCCACTGATTGTGTCAGTATGTGAACATTTCCATGATGTCCAGTGATTGTGTCAGTCCATGATGTCCACTAATTGTGTCAGTATGTGAATGTTTCCATGATGTCCAGTGATTGTGTCAGTCCATGATGTCCAGTGATTGTGTCAGTATGTGAACGTTTCCATGATGTCCAGTGATTGTGTCAGTCCATAATGTCCAGAGATTGTGTCAGTCCATGATGTCCAATGATTGTATCAGTCTATGATGTCCAGTGATTGTGTCAGTCCATGATGTCCAGTGATTGTGTCAGTCCATGATGTCCAGTGATTGTGTCAGTCCCCTGCTTCTTTCCCCCTCGCTAGCTAGGGTAATGTGACACCACGGAAGCAAGAGGCAGATTTAGCTTGAAAGCAGCTGACAGAAGGTTGTTGGTCATTATTGAATTAAGAATTGACATCACAGCACTGGGGACGCTCCTGTAAGCCCTCTATCCTAATCTAAACCAGCATTTGCAGAGTTCCAGTTGCCATGGCACCAGTAACAGTCTAATTGTGAATTATCTGGCACCAGCCAGATCCCCTGGTCACACCTGGCGGCACCATTCTCTGCAGGCCATATTGATCTGTTGTATACCTCCACACTGTTCACTCATTCGCAAATGACCCTTACAACTACTAGCCTGTCATGCATCAGTTAACCACCCAGTGGTGCAGAACCGGCCAGTCTATCTGCCTGTTTGTTTCCAAACACACCGGCATGACCTGGAGAAAATATCCAAAGGACCCTAACCACCCGAGACCTCTGACGTTGTTGATCATGGTCTCCATTCTCTCATTGTGGGCAGAGAATCAGAGATAGTGATAGTGGCTAGAGTAAGTGACCACTATTTGCACTGCTATTAAGGAGAGAAGTGGCAAACTGTTTTCCTCCAAGTTGCCTAAAAATTATAATTTCACATTATAATTTCACAAACAATTTTGAAAACTTAGTAATAACTGCCATGTTTAGGATGCCTATCTCTGATCTGTGAATTGAAGTACCAGAGATTAGTCTTGAAGGACACATATCTTGAAGGTCACCTACCTGGGCCATGGATTGAAGTACTGGAGATTACTATTGAAGGACACCTATCTTGAAGGACATCTGTGTTGAAGGACACCTGTGTTGAAGGACACCTGTGTTGAAGGACACCTGTGTTGAAGGACACCTGTGTTGAAGGACATCTGTGTTGAAGGACACCTATCTTGAAGGACATCTGTGTTGAAGGACACCTGTGTTGAAGGACATCTGTGTTGAAGGACACTTGTGTTGAAGGACATCTGTGTTGAAGGACACCTGTGTTGAAGGACATCTGTGTTGAAGGACACCTGTGTTGAAGGACACCTATCTTGAAGGACATCTGTGTTGAAGGACATCTGTGTTGAAGGACACCTGTGTTGAAGGACATCTGTGTTGAAGGACATCTGTGTTGAAGGACATCTGTGTTGAAGGACATCTGTGTTGAAGGACATCTGTGTTGAAGGACATCTGTGTTGAAGGACATCTGTGTTGAAGGACACCTGTGTTGAAGGACACCTGTGTTGAAGGACATCTGTGTTGAAGGACATCTGTGTTGAAGGACATCTGTGTTGAAGGACATCTGTGTTGAAGGACATCTGTGTTGAAGGACATCTGTGTTGAAGGACATCTGTGTTGAAAAAAACATATATCTGAACAATGGGTTTAGGTATCTGAAATTACTTTTGAAGGAGACACGTCTTTTAAGACACTACCTGGGTTGTGGTTTGAAGCACCTGAGATTACTCTTGAAGGACACATGTCTTTTAGGATACCTCTATTGAAAAAGCATCCACCTCTCTCTCTCTCTCTCTTTCTCATCCTCTGGTGAAAATGCATGATTGAACCCACCTCTCTCTTTCTATCGGTCTCTTTCATCCTGATTAAACCCATGTCTCTCTCTCTCTCTCGTCTCGTCCTCAGGTGGACACACATGTGCATGCATCATCAGGCATGAACCAGAAGCACCTGCTGAGGTTTATCAAGAAGACCATGAAGAACTCTAAAGATGATGTTGTCTTTAAGAACAAAGACGGCAAACTCTTGACACTTGCGGAGGTATTGCCTTCTAGGTTACTGCTATTCTCTGTTACTAAGATCCAACCTTCTGCACACTGTACATAGTCAGAGGTGCTCAGTGTGATTAGGGATATTTTCACCCTGATTGGGAAGTTTGGGTGGAAAGCCCTAAGCTAACAAAAATATCGAGAGAAGCCAGATACTCAGATTAACTGAGGTTTCTAAGATAGGTGATGACCAAGAGTTATCACGTGAAACCCGATGATAGCGACCACAGGTCGCCACGTGGAAGTAAAGGACCACCACGTGTTGCCACATGAAACAAACACGGGGTATATGTTCAGACCCTAGTCTGATCAAGTTAGTATGTGTTGAACTGTTGGAGTGAAAGGACGGGAGATTGATTGAGAGAATGCCAACGTGAGACTGATTGATGTGAGAGAAAAACCAGACGACGACATCCATTTGAAGCTAAGACCAGCCAGGCCAGTCTGTATGAAGTCAAGGAGAGGAACCAGATACATCTGTGCAAACTCTAGTCAGTGACTGCGTGAGAAACCGGCATGTTGAAGTCTGCGTAATGTGGCGTGTGAAAGCTGTTTACTAGGACAAGGACTGGGCCTCGATGTAAGTGTTAAGATGTCAATAAACTGATGAATTGTACGGCTAAGTTGGTCTCGGCTTGTTCCAGTTATGTCATCGTAGAAAGTGTGTGCTAAGAGCATTCACTACACACATCATCTCTTAGAAAACGAATCAGCGCTCACAGAAGCGACACATTGCACTCAGTCTCTATTCAGATCAGTTAATGTCTTCACAGTGAAGATCAGCTGGAATGGATCTCTAAATTTTTCATCTCTCTTGACATTTGTGGAGGTATACAATTCTCTGTTATTAAGGTATTAACTAAGATCAAACTTTCTGCACACTGTACACAGTCAAAAGTGCTCACTCTCTATTCAGATCAGTTAGTGTCTTCACAGTGAAGATCAGCTGCAATGTATCTAGATATTCCATCTCTCGCTATAATGGTCAAGTGTAATGTTTCTTCATTCAGTTGTTCTGTTGTCTTTCCACTTAACCATTTTGTGCTACATACCCACAATAGGTGTGTACCACTATGCTCACCAAGGTTAATACCAACCCTTTATATTGTTTGTCCCACCCCCCACCTCCCACCTCCCCCCCCCCCCCCCCCCCCCCCCCCCTCAAAAGGACTCATCAGCAGTGCTAGCTAATTTTTATGCACCTAAAAATATAAACTGTAGGTTTATGAGTTTATGAGTGGTTAGCCCGTGTGATGACAAGTCAGACCCACAAAATGCTACCAAGAAAACTTTTATTGACAACACTAAGAAAACTTTTATTGAAAACACCAAGAAAACTTTTATTGACAACACACACACACACAAACTTTTCTTGAAGGCTGCTATCACAAACGGGCTAGTTTTTAAACAGCATCTTAATTTCTTATTTTGTCTTTGTTATGTTGTTATATTGTTGCCATGAAGTCCACTGATTGTGTCAGTCCATTATTATTTTTATGACATCCAAAGATTATGCCAGTCCATGATTGTTTCCAAAATATTAGCTGATTATGTCAGTCCATGATTATTTACATAATGTCCAGTGATTGTGTCAGTCCGTAAACATTTACATAATGTCCAGTAATTGTGTCAGTCCGTGAACATTTACATAATGTCCAGTGATTGTGTCAGTCCGTGAACATTTACATAATGTCCAATGATTGAGTCAGTCCATGATGTCCAGTGACTGTGGGAGTCTGTGATGTCCAGTGACTGTGTCAGTCTGTGATGTCCAGTGATTGTGTCAGTTCATTAACATCTCCATGATGTCCAGTGACTGTGTCAGTTCATTAACATTTCCATGATGTCCAGTGATTGTGTCAGTTCATTAACATTTCCATGATGTCCAGTGACTGTGTCAGTCTGTGATGTCCAGTGACTGTGTCAGTCTGTGATGTCCAGTGATTGTGTCAGTTCATTAACATTTCCATGATTCACAGACAGACACAATTACTGGACATTATGGACTGACACAATCAGGTGGATATCATGGCAACAACTATAAACTGACATAATCAGTGGACATCATGGACTGATATAACCAATGAAAATCAAGGAAACAATCAAGGACTGACATAATTAGTGGACATCAAGGGAACAAGTGACACAATCACTAGACATCATGGAATTGTTCATGGACTGACACAATCACTGGACATCATGAAAATGTTAATGGACTGATGCAATCACTAGACACCAAGGAAATGTTCAAGGATTGACACAATCATTGGACATCATGGAAATGTTCATTGTGTCAGTTCATGAACATTTCCATGATGTCCAATGATAATTTCAATTCAAGAACATTTCCATGATGTCCAGTGGTTGTGATGTCCACTGATTGTGTCAGTCCATGATGTTGAGTGATATTGTCAGTCCATAGTGTCCAGTGATTGTGTCAGTCCATTATATCCAGTGGCCTATGATATATGATATCCAATGATTGTGTCAGTCCATGAACATTTCTATGATGTCCTATGATTGTGTCAATCCATGAACATTTCCTTGATGTCCAGTGATTGTGTCAGTCCCTGATTGTTGCCATGATGTCCAATGATTGTGTCACTGCATGACCCTTGCCATTTTGTCCACCAACTGTTAGCCTTATGTCCACCAACTGTAGGCCTTATGTCCACCAACTGTTGGCCTTATGTCCACCAACTGTTGGCCTTATGTCCACCAACTGTAGGCCTTATGTCCACCAACTGTTGGCCTTATGTCCACCAACTGTTGGCCTTATGTCCACCAACTGTTGGCCTTATGTCCACCAACTGTTGGCCTTATGTCCACCAACTGTTGGCCTTATGTCCACCAACTGTAGGCCTTATGTCCACCAACTGTTGGCCTTATGTCCACCAACTGTAGGCCTTATGTCCACCAACAGTTGGCCTTATGTCCACCAACTGTTGGCCTTATGTCCACCAACTGTAGGCCTTATGTCCACCAACTGTTGGCCTTATGTCCACCAACTGTTGGCCTTATGTCCACCAACTGTAGGCCTTATGTCCACCAACTGTTGGCCTTATGTCCACCAACTGTTGGCCTTATGTCCACCAACTGTTGGCCTTATGTCCACCAACTGTTGGCCTTATGTCCACCAACTGTTGGCCTTATGTCCACCAACTGTTAGCCTTATGTCCACCAACTGTTGGCCTTATGTCCACCAACTGTAGGCCTTATGTCCACCAACTGTTGGCCTTATGTCCACCAACTGTTGGCCTTATGTCCACATACTGTTGGCCTTATGTCCACCAACTGTTGGCCTTATGTCCACCAACTGTTGGCCTTATGTCCACCAACTGTTGGCCTTATGTCCACCAACTGTTGGCCTTATGTCCACCAACTGTAGGCCTTATGTCCACCAACTGTTGGCCTTATGTCCACCAACTGTTGGCCTTATGTCCACCAACTGTTGGCCTTATGTCCACCAACTGTTGGCCTTATGTCCACCAACTGTTGGCCTTATGTCCACCAACTGTTGGCCTTATGTCCACCAACTGTTGGCCTTATGTCCACCAACTGTTGGCCTTATGTCCACCAACTGTTGGCCTTATGTCCACTAACTGTTTGCCTTATGTCCACCAACTGTTGGCCTTATGTCCACCAACTGTAGGCCTTATGTCCACCAACTGTTGGCCTTATGTCCACCAACTGTTGGCCTTATGTCCACTTGCAGGTGTTCAAATCCATGAACCTGACCCCCTACGATCTGAATGTGGACATGCTGGACGTGCATGCGGTAAGTTCCTTTGCATTGTTTTCTCACTTCCCTCGACCACTGACATCTCTTGAAATCCCCCATGTGGGTTGTGGGGCCCCAATTATCATCAGTAGCAAATCCCCATGTGGGTTGTGGGCTCCAATTATCATCAGTAGCCAATCCCCATGTTTGTTGTGGGCTCCAATTATCATCAGTAGCCAATCCCCCATGTGGGTTGTGGGATCCCATTATCATCAGTAGCACATACCCATGTGGGTTGTGGGCTCTAATTATCATCAGTAGCAAATCCCCATGTGGGTTGTGGGGCCCCAATTATCATCAGTAGCAAATTCTCATGTGGGTTGTGGGGCCCTGTTATCATCAGTAGCAAATTCTCATGTGGCTTGTGGGACCCCAATTATCATCAGTAGCCAATCCCTATGTGGGTTGTGGGATCCCATTATCATCAGTAGCAAATCCTGTGTGGGTTCAGGTGCCCCATTTTGTGATTGGGGGGGGGGGGGGGTAGACTTCTTAACAAGATGTCATCAAATGCAGCTTATATGGGTTTGCTGAAATCAGGGTGTTTGGCCCACACACAAATAGCAGAGATATTGCAGTTTAGCTGTAGACAGATGTTCTCACAGTAGACAAAAGGTTATTTGGTAAAGTTTTGTGGTGCCCCAGTGTAACTGTGCCAAATGGCTGTGCAGTTAAATGGGATTTCTGGGATTTGTAGCTGTTTGACTCTCATCCTTGAGATTCTAAACCTACAGAAGGGAGAACCACAGAAGAAGAAGAAGAAGAAGAAGAAGAAGAAAAAAGAAGAAGAAGAAGAAGAAGAAGAAGAAGAAGAAGAAGAAGAAGAAGAAGAAGAAGAAGAAGAAGAAGAAGAAGAGAAGAAGAAGAAGAAGAAGAGAAAAAAGAAGAAGAAGGAAAAGAAGAAGAAGAAGAAAAGAAGAAGGAAAAGAAGAAGAAAAACAGAAGAAGAAGAAGTCAGTAGTGATCTAAATGTTTGAAATAAGAATACTAAAATATGAATTCTTTGTTACATTGATTGGTTTTTATTTTTTTCAGGATCTGTTGTTTGTTTTATTTTTTTATTTTTTCAGGATCGGAACACTTTTCACAGGTTTGACAAGTTCAATGCCAAGTACAACCCGGTTGGAGAGAGCCGGCTCCGGGAGGTGTTTATGAAAACTGACAATCATATAGAAGGTCTATACTTCGCTAAAGTTACCAAGGTATGTTGGATTTGTGATGTGTTGGACGGCTGGCAGGTTTTTGAGGTTGGCATATTTGATGGTTGGTACGTTTTAAGGTTGGCATATTTGATGGTTGGAATGTTTTAAGGTTGGCATATTTGATGGTTGGCACGTTTTAAGGTTGGCATATTTGATGGTTAGCATGTTTTAAGGTTGGCATGTTTGATTAGAAGAGATCATAAATGACGATATCAGGAAAGAAGTTGGCACAGAACCAGTACTTAACTACATCAAGAGACAGCAGATCAGATGGTCTGATCATATGTCAAGACAACCAACAGATGGTACACCACAGAAAGCCCTTTTGCTCAGACATAATGGAAGCAGAACCAGAGGTTGACCACGCTAGCAATGGATAGACGGGATATCTGAGACCATAGATACCAGCATCAGAAATATTTGCAAAAAACATTGCCGCCACGTCCGTGATGGCTCTGACAATGGTGCGCCATTCTTCTTCTTCTTTGCGTTCGGTTTTGTATGCTCAGATCAGACCATAAGGTGGGCTGCCTCTGAACTCGCATGTCAGTAGCAGGTCCTTCATGGTTCCATATTGTTTTCTCTGCAGATTTTGCTCTTGAGGCCAGGTGTCGAAGTTGTAGTGAGCAGGTCTGCAGAATGTGCTTAGGTGTTTGTGATCCTGTTTGACAGACACACTGTGGGGACTGTACAATCTTAATTTTATGCATGTGGTAGTGAGCCTGCAGTGTTCTGTTCGTAGATGGAAAATTGTTGTATGCTGCTTTCTGTTGAGTCTGCTGATAGGGTTTTGTGGATGTCTACTGTTAGTTTGTTCTCGCCACAATTTCTTGTATTTTCCTTTGATAAGTGTTCTGATAACTGGTAATGACTATAAATGGGCGTGTTGTTTCTCCTTTGTTCTATTTATTGCGAGTCTATCTGCTAACTCATTTCCTGGTATGCCGCAGTGAGCCGGGATCCACTGGAGAACGATTTGATTGTTTTCTGTGAGTTTGTATAGCTGGCGGGTCAATTCTCTGTCCATGTTGTCTCGTTGATACCCCTGAGTCGCCTGGAGGACTGACATGAAGTCACAAAAGAAAACAATTTTGCTGTTTTTAATTTTTCTTTCCTCAAGCACTTTGGCTGAATCAGTAATTGCTTGCTTGCCGCTCTGCTGTAAAGTTTGTTAAGATTTTTTTCCGGAGGCGCATGATGTTTCTACTGTAGTCCCATCTTGTAGCATGATGCCATCATTATGTTTTTGTTGTTTGTTTTAGTATCCAGAAGCCATGAGTTGTTAACCCTTAGGCTCGGTATTATGAATATCGCAACCTTTCGGCCTTGATTCCATTGTAAATACCGTAAATCTGGGAGAAATGTGGCTTTTCTAACTACCCCCCTTAGTGAACCCGGACCACAAGGAGTTCGTCACCCGGTCACCGCGCAATCTGGTTTAACCAACTACGCTATAGAGCCGGGCATGTCGTCCTTATAAAGCAGTTCTATAACATCATCAACAAGGGATACAATTAAAATTAAAATTTTACTTTGACCATTACCGAGTTGTTTCTCTTAAAGAAACCGTGAAATTAATGGACTGACTGACTTTCTACCCCACCAGGACATCACACAAGCGATAAACACCTGGTGGCAGAATGTGCCACAATGAGGGTGAGGATCAACGTGGAGAGGTCCCAGAAATCGCATTCAGCCTTTAGGCCATATTTATGGCCAGGCTACATTGCGGCCCCTCGCAAAAGCCAGAGTAGGGCTTTAAATAACGAAAAATTTCGTCCTAAAAGGACGAGAAGTGATCATGTTTCATTAATGGACTAACTGCCACAACTTTATATATTGCATAAGTCACAATTTTAACATGGCGGTCAGCGTCCAAAGTTACAATCACAGGGGTTGTGATCGTGGTAGCCAGGTATAAACAGCTGATTGCATAACCTTCGATCTTGGTTGCCAGTGGGCTAATGGTTGCATTATCTCATGTTTGGCAATATTTGAGTATTAGTGCTTGATGATTGAGTTACCTAATTTACTCATATTATTTGGTGTGTTTTGTTGTTGCAATTTTATATGTTTGGCATGCTTTGATGATTGATGTTGTTGACGTACAAAACCTTTTTTGTCTCCTCTTGTGTTCAGGAAGTCATGGAAGACCTGGAGGAAAGCAAGTACCAAAACGCTGAGTTCAGACTGTCCATCTATGGCAGGTCCATCAATGAGTGGGACAAACTGGCCAGATGGGCCATCAAACATCAGATGTATTCGCCCAACGTGCGCTGGATGATCCAGTTGCCCAGGCTTTAGTGAGTCTTCTTCTTCTTTTGTCCCACTGCTTATGCCGTGAAGTATCACAGAGGGAAGTTAGATGTAGTTTCCTGTCTTTTGTCCCACTGCTTATGCCGTGAAGTATCACAGAGATGAGTTAGACGTTGTTACCTGTCTTTTGCTAGCTGCATAGCTTATGTTAATGTTTTAGTAAGTTGTCCCTAATGTATAGACTGGCTGGCTCTGCACCACTTGGTGGTGAATTGACATATGACAAGCTAGATATTGTGAGGGCCTTTTGGGAACGAGTCAACAGTGCGGAGGCACAGATAGATCATTAGGGTCTGAGGGGATAGCGCTGCGAGGAGTTACCAGGGGATCTGGCCGACGCTCAACACTCAGGGGAAGATAAGACAGATGATTGTTGGTGCCATCGGATTTGGAACTCTTCACTTGCTGCTGAAGATGGGGATAGAGCACTTATGGGAGTTTCCCTAGTGCTGTGGTGTTGACTCTTAATTCAACATTCAACTTAACTGAGCAAACTGGGTGTGACTTTGTTCTACAGCCACAGAGAGCAAAGTGACATCATAAGTTTTGTTATTACATCACAGGACAGACTGATTTTTTTCAACTAAACAAAAACCCTTGAAAGTCAGAAAATCAGCTTTTGTGGGAAACAGGGTTAATAGATTTATGCTGGTGAGCTGACTGATGCTAATTTTCTTCTGTTCCAGTGATGTCTACTCCGCTAACAAACTGTGCGAGAGCTTCCAGGACTTTATCACAAACATATTTCAGCCGTTGTTTGAGGTCACCAATGATCCACGGAGTCATCCAGAGTTGCATTCCTTTCTCAACCATGTATGTTTGTTTGTTGTTATTCCAGTATCTCCCTGTGTGCCAGTATCTCCCTGTGTGCCAGTATCTCTCTGTGTGCCAGTATCTCCCTGTGTGCCAGTATCTCTCTGTGTGCCGGTAACTCCCTGTATGCCAGTATCTCCCTGTGTGCCAGTATCTCCCTGTGTGCCAGTATCCCCCTGTGTGCCAGTATCTCCCTGTGTGCCGGTAACTCCCTGTGTGCCAGTATCTCCCTGTGTGCCAGTATCTCCCTGTGTGCCAGTATCTCCCTGTGTGCCAGTATCTCCCTGTGTGCCAGTATCTCTCTGTGTGCCGGTAACTCCCTGTATGCCAGTATCTCCCTGTGTGCCAGTATCTCCCTGTGTGCCAGTATCCCCCTGTGTGCCAGTATCTCCCTGTGTGCCGGTAACTCCCTGTGTGCCAGTATCTCCCTGTGTGCCAGTATCTCCCTGTGTGCCAGTATCTCCCTGTGTGCCGGTAACTCCCTGTGTGCCAGTATCTCCCTGTGTGTATCTGCTTACACCCACATACACCGGTTATCCTGCATGTGCGTATATACATTTCCATATGTACCACTGAGAATATGAGAGAAATTCTTAAGGAGCATAGGAAAGGAAATGTTAAGTAGAATAGGAAAAGAATTGACATTCAGCTTATCTCTCTCTCTCTCTCTCTCTCTCTCTCTCTCTCTCTCTCTCTCTCTCTCTCTCTCTCTCTCTCTCTCTCTCTCACACACACACACACACACACACACACACGCACGAACACACACACGTTTGAATTAATATGAAGAGAGATTTCAGTTTAACTTCACCATATCAACCCAATAAATTAATTATCAAGATAAAGAGAGACAGAGAGGAAAGACAGGAAACAAAGGGGTGAGATTATAAAGAGAGGGACAGAAAAAAGATAGTCTGAAAGAAAGATAGAGAGACAGACCAGAGAGAGAGTGGTGACAGAGCAAGAGGGAGAGCAAATGATAGAGTGAGAGAAAAATATAAAAAAACAGCAGAAATTAAGTCATTATAATCAAATGAGACATCTGCATGTGGATTCCGGGGCCCATTGGGGGGGGGGGGGGGGGGCATAGATAAGCTTTGTAGACTAATTCAGGGTATTTGCTTCTAAATCATAATGTGTCTGTCTGAGAGACGGGGAGCCAACAGTCTGCACATAAAGCCTTATCTGTGAAACGGGTTTGCATGCAAAACTCAGATTCTAAAAACTAAAGAAAAAAAAACACTGAAGTCCAGAAATGGGTGAACAACAAGAACTTTGTGCTGAGTTTACAGCCAGTGAACGCTATAAGAAGAAAAAGAAAAAATGAGACATTTAACATCCTATAGGTAGAAGAGGTGGAGCCACCTTGGTGTAGTGACTAGAGGCTTGCCAGCAGATCTGAAGGTTGTGGGTTCAGAGCCAAATAGAGCCCAATTTTTTTGTCCAGGTCAACCCAGCCAGGTGCCAGGTAAAACACTAGTAAGAAAAGGCAGCCATTGTGATGGCGCTGAGTGCCGATTGGTCAGTAAAATATTGGTCGAACACTAAATACCCAATACGTCTGGATAGTTTGGAAAAGGGTCCTGTAAGTAGAAGGGTTGAGTTGAAGAATTGACATCACAGCACTCAGGGCATTCCCATGCATGCTCCATTCTCATCTTCAGCAGCCAGTGCAGTGTTCCAGTACTGTCCGTCTTACCTTTCCTCTGAGTGTAGTGAGCCGGCCAGACCCTCTGGTTACACTCAGATCTCCAGGTTTTAATAATCTTCTAACTCTACTGATTCCGTTGCTTGTTCCTAAAGGGACTTGACCACATCTGCCTTGTCATGTATCAGTTCACCACCCAGTGGTGCAGATCCAGCCAATCTGTCTGCCTGTTCATTACCAACCACGCCTGGAGAAAAGATCCAAAGTATGCTCACAATTAACTCTTTGAGTCCCAGGGGGTTTAGCATCACAGGCCCAGGGGGTATTAAAAAAAGTAATAAAATCGGCACGTCATGCGTACATTGGGCTTCTAGGTAGGAACCTATGAACGTATGATGCATTCCTTGGGGCTCAAAGAATTAAGTAGAAGATGGAAAAGTGAATTCAAATTCACATATATCCTCTCTTGTATCCATTAAAGATTTCCGGGTTCGACTCCGTGGACGACGAATCTAAATCAGAGCATGTCATGATGAACAAAGACTCCCCCCTGCCTAGTGATTGGACTTCTCCGGAGAATCCCCCATACACTTACTACCTGTACTACATGTTTGCCAACATTGTCGTGCTCAATAATTTCAGAAGGTAAGTCAGCCCTAGCTTTGTGAATATGTGATAACTAAATATAATATGTGTGTATAACAGCCTTAAAAGTCTATGGTTGAGCACCAGCAAGGAGATACAAATTAGAATTTTGAGAGCATGCATCTTCCCTGTGGCTACATACGGATGTGAGTCGTGGACTGTCTCTCAGTCCTTAAGAAAGAGAATAGGGGCTTTTGAGCTGAAATGTTTTAGAAAGATTCTCAGAATATCTTGGACAAAGAAGAGAAGAAATATTGACATCTTAAAAGATCTAAACATCAAGGAAGATTGGCTAATAAACAGCATCCTGTATCGGAAGCTGAAATATTTTGGTCATATCAAGCGCCATGACGGATTGGAAAAAAATTATAGCAGAAGGCATGGTACCAGGAAGGAGGGGCAGAGGCCGACCGACACGAAGATGGGCACAGGATATAAGTGACTCCTTGAGTGTGAAAGTTCATGAGGTGGGAGAACTGGCGAGAGACCGAGTTCTTTCAAGCAGACTGCAATGAGAGCGATGTTCCGCAAAGGACCTGCTACATGATGATGATGTATATGTGGTAACTAAATGGGATTGTGTAAGTGAATATGGGATAAATAAATCTAATTGTGTCAGTGAAAATATATGATGAATAAATATAATTGTAAATTAATATAATTATGTGACTAAATATAACTGTCTGAATATGGGATGGATGAATATAATTATTTGAATATTTGATGACTTAATATAGTTGTGTGATTATTTCATAACTAAATATAGTTGTGTAATTATTAATGAGTAAATATAATTGTGAAAATTTCATGACTAAATATAATTGTGTGAATATATGATGACTAAATATAATTGTGTGAATATATGATGACTAAATATAAGTGTGCGAATATTTGATGACTAAATATTATTGTGTGAATATGTGATGACTAAATATAATTGTATGAATATGTGATGACTAAATATAATTGTGTGAATGTGTTATAACTAAATATATATAGGTATATATTCATGACTAAATATAATTGTGTGAATGTGTGATACCAAATATAATTGTGTGAATGTGTGATACCTAAATATAATTGTGTGAATATTTGATGACTAAATATTATTGTGTGAACATGTGATGACTAAATTTAATTGTGTGAATGTGTGATGACTAAATATAATTGTGTGAATATGTTATAACTAAATATAAATAGGTATATATTCATGACTAAAAATAATTGTGTGAATGTGTGATACCTAAATATAATTGTGTGAATATGTCATGACTAAATATAAGTGTGAATATGTGATGACGAAATATAATTTGCCCCCACTACTTGTCTAGACTTGAACTCAGTAACTTCAGGTTCATGTATGATCTGTTGTTCCATACCCACTTGGTCATCTCCGAGCTCCCTTTCCAGTCCTTGTCTGCACCATCGTGTATACAGGTTGTTACCACAAACACAAATTTAATTTTGTGAAGTAAATTGATTTCTGTCTGACAAAGAAACTGATTTCTGTCTGATGAAGAAATTATTTCTATCTGACAAAGAAATTATTTCTGTCTGACAAAGAAACTGATTTCTGTCTGATGAAGAAATTATTTCTATCTGACAAAGAAATTATTTCTGTGTGACAAAGAAACTGGTTCTGTCTGACAAAGAAATTATTTCTGTCTGACAAAGAAATTGATTTGTCTCACAAAGAAACTGATTTCTGTCTGACAAAGAAATTATTTCTGTCTGACAAAGAAATTATTTCTGTCTGACAAAGAAACTGATTTCTGTCTGACAAAGAAATTATTTCTGTCTGACAAAGAAACTATTTATGTCTGACAAAGAAATTATTTCTGGATGACAAAGAAATTGATTTCTGTCTCACAAAGAAACTGATTACTGTCTGCACAGAATGCGTGGGCTGTCACAGTTTGTGTTGCGGCCTCACTGCGGCGAGGCGGGAAATGTGACCCACCTGGTCTCAGGGTTCATGTTGGCTGAGAGCATTGCCCATGGGCTGGTGCTGAGGAAGGTGAGCTGTCGTGGATTATCTAGAAGTTTCTGTTTGCGTTTACTTATTTCACTGAACATAGAGGGCAATCTTCTTCTCTTCTGCTTCAGCATTCCGAGCCCTTGAGGTTCATTGCCTCCTGTCTCCATTCATCTCTCTGGTTGGCCTTCTCTTTCCAGTTGATGACACCAAGTGTTTGCAGGTCTCTCTGGATATTATCTCTCCATCGTCTTTTTAGTCTGCCTCATGGTCTACGACCATTTATCTCCTTCGTGTAAATAGTTTGTACTTTTCCGTCATCTGACATTCTTTCACTATGTTTCAGTCTGTTAGCTCTCATGATGCCAGTGATCAGTGGACAAAGAGGGGAAGGGATTCTTTAGAAGTTTGTGTGCCTCTGCGTAAATGAATATATTTATATCATCGGTTTATATCACCAAATTTGGATTTGAAGAATAAAATAATCCCAGCAGGTCTGTCGGTGTGTGCTGAATCATGGGCAGGTTGAACACTGTGACACTAGAATTGAAACACTTTAAGATTGGCACAACTTGGAATCGGAATTACATTTTCAAGTAAATGTTGCCTCAGAACTTGAACGGTGAGCTGGCAGCTGAAAGCCTGGCACATGTCTACCACACACTGGCTCCTGTGCTACAGTTTTTTCATTCATTGTGCTGAATACATCGTGTCTTCGGCTTGACACCTTATATCATTCTTTTGCAGTTAATTTTATAAATTTGTGCATATTTGTTTTTTGTTTTCTTTCTATAAAACACTTAATGCATTAGTTTTGGTTAGTAATAAGTGTAGAGTTGATAAACTAAGTCAAACAGCTTGCTAGAACAACAGTTGCCACTAAAAATCTTATTAATAGACAAGAAAGTGATTTCCATGTATGTAATCTTGCTGTTTGTTTGATATGCCTACATTGACTCTGGAGAAAGTTAGATTTATTATCATCATCATGTGCCCTGCCAACTGGCGTAGGCGCTCATGCCATCGTTTCAGCCCATCCAGCATCATCTCTCTTGGTCTGCCTCTATCCCTCTTTCCACTGATCTTTCCAGTTGTCACAATGTTTTCCAATGCCTTCTTACGTGGCCAAAGAACAGTGTTGGCCTCCTTATTGTTGCATATAGGGATCTACTTTCATTAGTTTCTTTCAAGCAATCGTTGTTAGTTACTCTGGCCGTCCAAGGTATTCGTAACATTCATCTCAGAAACCACATCTCTGTTGCTTTCAAATTCTTCCTTATTTGTTCACTGACATTCCAAGATTCGCTGCAATATAGCAGAAGAGGTTCTATGTAACATTTTAGCACTCTCTTTCTGACATTAAATGAGAGCGATTTATTGCATAAAATATTTTTCATTTTCTGAAATGAGATTAGATTAGTTTCCATCATTTTCAGTGGGAAAAATTACCTTTGAACTTAAATGGTTTGAAATTTGATCGCCATCTCAGAAAGGATTATGTTTGAATTCCAAGGTGCTGCTGTATTCTAATATGCCTCTATGTAGATTCAGCTCCTCTTTTGAACACGAAGGCAAAGAGCTCTGCAACACATTCATTTCCTGTGAGGATGGTGCTTTGATAACAGGCCAACAGAAGAATCCCCGTCCCAACTCTCACTCCAAAAGATTAAAACCATTTCCATATCTCACATGACCTGGTCAGATTTTAGGATTTCTTTTTTCACCTCGAGAAAACTAAATAATAGGTCGTGATCCAGTTATAATTCCAGAAAAAATCTGTACAAAAACTAATACATTTCTTCAAAATGTGATTATGTTCATTAAAAAACTATTTTCAAAATATGTTTTGAAAAAATATGAAAGGAGTAATAATCAATGAGCAACATACAGTTTGAAGCATACACATCCAATGGGGCCTAAAAATTACAATGTATCAAGTGACTCGTCCTGTGACCCCGTGACCTCTGAGGCTTTGCCCGAAGGAGAATCCCTTTCATGGTGTTTTTAGTTTATGTAGATAATCTAAACTCTTGAATGTTTGCACAGGCCTGAACTCTGCCAGTAGCATTAATTCTGCATCCCATAAACAGGTGAATAGTCGGAAAAGTGACATTTATGGGGAATGGATCCAACTGGAAGTGTTAGTTTTTCTGCTTCTGTTAGGGAAAGGGTTAAAGGGAGCCGTGGATATTGAGTGTCAAGATGTTTGCTAGTTGACCTGAAGGTCTTCAATTAATCCAAGTATGATCAAAATCTTTTTAAATTGATTTCTTAAACTGACCTAGTGAGAAATGTATTCATAGGAAGTAAAGGTGGCCGGCCACCTCACTCATTGAATGTCAGTTTGTCTGCATAAATTATAGCTCTAGCCAAGTGGTTCCCAACCTGTGGATCGTGCTCCTTTTGGAGGTCAAATGTCCCTTTCGCATAAGAAGACCCGAAAACATTTACTAAAGTTGTGAAGTAGCAACAAACATAATTGTATGGTTTGGTGTCACCACAACACGAGGAACTGTATGAATGGGTCGTGGCGTTAGGAAGATTGAAAACCACTGCTCTAGCCTGATATGTTTATAGGTGATAGCAGTAATTTTCAACCCAGGAAATGCACGCATACCTAGTGGGATATCAGCTAGTTGGGTGCATTTACATTTTTAAAAATCTGTATCTGTGTGTGTGTTTTTTTTCTAATTATATTAAACAACAAGGTGAGGTTTTTAAAAAAATGTTTGTAGGCAATTTGTACAGCAACCATTGTTACCGTTTCTGTTTTTGAACATTAAAAAAAAATGATTGGTGTGCGATGGTTTCGGGGGTGGGTGTGTGCGATGGCTGGGGAAGGGGGGGGGGGGGAGAGATTGCATTCTGGGTTTAATAAGCGTAAGCCAACTAAGGTACAGCTGATTGCCTCACAGTCTGCAGAGGTCCCCAACACATTGACATTTATTGTTGTTGTTCACAAACGCGATTTTCCTTTGATGGAGCCTTTTAGAGGATTATATAATTTTTTTTGGTTTGTTTGATTTGCTGACACATACTTTTTAAATTTCTTTTACTAAAATTAAATGACTATAAATTTTTATATTATCCAGAAATTTAAATGACACATATATATTTTACAGTTGTGTGAGATTAACTCTTGTAATTAAAACAATAGGGCCTCCGGGCTTCATTTAGCTTAGGGCCTCATTAAGTTTAAGTCTGGCTCTGGGGTATTGTAATATATTCAGAGGGGGTGCCACCGGAAAAAAGGTTGAAAACCACTGCTTTACGGATTCACAGTCATATCACAGCATAGGTTAAAGATCAAGGCCAAATGTGTCAGTATGCCAGGAGAAGTCAGGTTTAGAAAAGAAATATGACAGCAAATGATTGCCTATGAGCACTGCATGTCTTCCCAACTGAGCACCACATGTCTTCCCAGCTGAGCACCGCATGTCTTCCCAACTGAGCACCGTATGTCTTCCCAGCTGAGCACCGCATGTCTTCCCAGCTGAGCACCGCATGTCTTCCCAGCTAAGCACCGCATGTCTTCCCAACTAAGCACCGCATGTCTTCCCAGCTGAGCACTGCATGTCTTCCCAGCTGAGCACTGCATGTCTTCCCAGCTGAGCACCGCATGTCTTCCCAGCTGAGCACCGCATGTCTTCCCAGCTGAGCACTGCATGTCTTCCCAGCTGAGCACTGCATGCCTTTCCAGCTGAGCACTGCATGTCTTCCCAGCTGAGCACCGCATGTCTTCCCAACTGAGCACTGCATGTCTTCCCAACTGAGCACTGCATGTCTTCCCAGCTGAGCACCGCATGTCTTCCCAGCTGAGCAACGCGTTTCTTCTCTTCCCAACTGAGCACTGCATGTCTTACCAGCTGAGCACTGCATGTCTTCCCAGCTGAGCAACGCATTTCTTCTCTTCCCAGCTGAGCAACGCGTTTCTTCTCTTCCCAACTGAGCACCGCATGTCTTCCCAGCTGAGTAACGCGTTTCTTCTCTTCCCAACTGAGCACCCCATGTCTTCCCAGCTGAGCACTGCATGTCTTTCCAGCTGAGCAACGCATTTCTTCTCTTCCCAGCTGAGCACTGCATGTCTTCCCAGCTGAACAACGCGTTTCTTCTCTTCCCAACTGAGTACTGCATGTCTTCTCTTCTCAACTGAGCCTCACATGTCTTCCCAACTGAGCACTGCATGTCTTCCCAGCTGAGCACCACATGTCTTCCCAGTTGAGCAACGCATGTCTTCTCTTCCCAGCTGAGCCTTGCATGTCTTCTCTTCCCAACTGAGCCTCTCATGTCTTCTCTTCCCAGCTGAGCCTCGCATGTCTTCTCTTCCCAACTGAGCGCTGCATGTCTTCTCTTCCCAACTGAGCACCATGTCTCCTCTGCCCAACTGAACACCGCATGTCTACCCAACTGAGCAACGCATGTCTTTTTTTTCCTAACTGAGCACAGTGTGTCTTCTCTTCCCAACTGGGCACCCCATGTCTACCCAAATGAGCACCGCGTGTCTTCCCAACAGAGCACCGTGTGTCTTCTCTTCCCAACTAAGCACCATGTGTCTTTTTCACTGTGTCCTCTTGTCCTCAGGTTCCTGTCCTGCAGTACCTGTACTACCTGTCACAGATTGGGATCGCCATGTCCCCACTAAGCAACAACTCTCTTTTCCTGAACTATCACCGCAACCCGTTGCCGGAGTACTTCAACAGAGGGCTGAATGTCTCCTTGTCCACAGATGATCCTTTGCAGTTCCACTTTACAAAAGTATGGTAACCTTGTCTGGCTGTTGTTTTTTTTTTTTTTTAAAGAATATATATTTATTAGCTGTGGTAGCAATAGCAAATTTGTGTCTTTGTTAGCAGGGACCTTTTTGGTAGCTTCAGAAGCAGGGAAATGTCTGGGAGCTGTGGTAGCAGGGACATGTCTGGGAGCTGTGGTAGGAGGGTCTGTCTGTGGTAGCAGGGACATGTCTGGGAGCTGTGGTAGAAGGGTCTGTCTGTGGTAGCAGGGACATGTCTGGGAGCTGTGGTAGGAGGGTCTGTCTGTGGTAGCAGGGACATGTCTGGGAGCTGTGGTAGAAGGGTCTGTCTGTGATAGCAGGGACATGTCTGGGAGCTGTGGTAGGAGGTTCTGTCTGTGGTAGCAGGGAAATGTCTGGGAGCTGTGGTAGGAGGTTCTGTCTGTGGTAGCAGGGAAATGTCTGGGAGCTGTGGTAGGAGGGTCTGTCTGTAGTAGTAGGGACATGTCTGGGAGCTGTGGTAGCAGGGTCTATCTGTGGTAGCAGGGACATGTCTGGGAGCTGTGGTAGGAGGGTCTATCTGTGGTAGCAGGGACATGTCTGGGAGCTGTGGTAGGAGGGTCTATCTGTGGTAGTAGGGACATGTCTGGGAGCTGTGGTAGTAGGGTCTATCTGTGGTAGCAGGGACATGTCTGGGAGCTGTGGTAGGAGGGTCTATCTGTGGTAGCAGGGACATGTCTGGGAGCTGTGGTAGGAGGGTCTATCTGTGGTAGTAGGGACATGTCTGGGAGCTGTGGTAGGAGGGTCTATCTGTGGTAGCAGGGACATGTCTGGGAGCTGTGGTAGGAGGTTCTGTCTGTGGTAGCAGAGACATGTCTGGGAGCTGTGGTAGGAGGGTCTGTCTGTGGTAGCAGGGACATGTCTGGGAGCTGTGGTAGGAGGGTCTGTCTGTGGTAGCAGGGACATGTCTGGGAGCTGTGGTAGGAGGGTCTATCTGTGGTAGCAGGGACATGTCTGGGAGCTGTGGTAGGAGGGTCTGTCTGTGGTAGCAGGGACATGTCTGGGAGCTGTGGTAGGAGGGTCTGTCTGTGGTAGCAGGGACATGTCTGGGAGCTGTGGTAGGAGGGTCTATCTGTGGTAGCAGGGACATGTCTGGGAGCTGTGGTAGGAGGGTCTGTCTGTGGTAGCAGGGGCATGTCTTGGAGCTCTGGAGGTAGGAGGGTCTGTCTGTGGTAGCAGGGACATGTCTGGGAGCTGTGGTAGGAGGGTCTGTCTGTGGTAGCAGGTATGCTGGGAGGGACATGAGGGTCTGTCTGGGAGCTGTGGTAGGAGGGTCTGTCTGTGGTAGCAGGGAAATGTCTGGGAGCTGTGGTAGGAGGATCTGCCTGTGATAGCAGGGACATGTCTGGGAGCTGTCGATGGAGGAAGGTCTATCTGTGGTAGCAGAGAAATGTCTGGGAGCTGTGGTAGCAGGGAAATGTCTGGGAGCTGTGGAAAGAGGGTCTATCTGGTGTAGCAGGGAAATGTCTGGGAGCTGTGGAAAGAGGGTCTATCTGTGGTAGCAGGGAAATGTCTGGGAGCTTTGGAAAGAGGGTCTATCTGTGGTAGCAGGGAAATGTCCGGGAGCTGTGGTAGGAGGGTCTATCTGTGGTAGCAGGGAAATGTCTGGGAGCTGTGGTAGCAGAGAAATGTCTGGGAGCTGTGGTAGGAGGGTCTATCTGTGGTAGCAGGGAATGTCTGGGAAATGTCAGGGAAATGTGGGAGCTGTGGTAGTGGTAGGGAAATGTCTGGGAGCTTTGGAAAGAGGGTCTATCTGTGGTAGCAGGGAAATGTCTGGGAGCTGTGGTAGCAGGGAAATGGTCTATCTGTGGTAGCAGGAAATGTCTATCTGTGGTAGCAGGGAAATGTCTGGGAGCTGTGGAAAGAGGGTCTATCTGTGGTAGCAGGGAAATGTCTGGGAGCTGTGGAAAGAGGGTCTATCTGTGGTAGCAGGGAAATGTCTGGGAGCTGTGGAAAGAGGGTCTATCTGTGGTAGCAGGGAAATGTCTGGGAGCTGTGGTAGGAGGGTCTATCTGTGGTAGCAGGGAAATGTCTGGGAGCTGTGGTAAGAGGGTCTGGGATCTGTGGTAGCAGGGAAATGTCTGGGAGCTGTGGTAAGAGGGTCTATCTGTGGGAGCTGTTGGTAGCAGGGAAATGTCTGGGAGCTGTGGTAGGAGGGTCTGTCTGTGGTAGCAGGGAAATGTCTGGGAGCTGTGGTAGGAGGGTCTATCTGTGGTAGCAGGGAAATGTCTGGGAGCTGTGGAAAGAGGGTCTATCTGTGGTAGCAGGGAAATGTCTGGGAGCTGTGGAAAGAGGGTCTATCAGGTCTGGGAGCTGTGGTAGCAGGGAAATGTGTGGGAGCTGTGGTAAAGGGTCTATCTGTGGTAGCAGGGAAATGTCTGGGAGCTGTGGTGTGGAAATGAGGGTCTATCTGTGGTAGCAGGGAAATGTCTGCAGGGAGCTGGGAGTGGAAAGAGGGTCTATCTGTGGTAGCAGGGAAATGTCTGGGAGCTTGTGGAAAGAGGGTCTATCTGTGGTAGCTTTGGAAAGAGGGTCTATCTGTGGTAGCAGGGAAATGTCTGGGAGCTGTGGAAAGAGGGTCTATCTGTGGTAGCAGGGAAATGTCTGAGAGCTGTGGAAAGAGGGTCTATCTGTGGTAGCAGAGAAATGTCTGGGAGCTGTGGTAGGAGGGTCTATCTGTGGTAGCAGGGAAATGTCTGGGAGCTGTGGAAAGAGGGTCTATCTGTGGTAGCAGGGAAATGTCTGGGAGCTGTGGTAGCAGAGAAATGTCTGGGAGCTGTGGTAGCAGGGAAATGTCTGGGAGCTTTGGAAAGAGGGTCTATCTGTGGTAGCAGGGAAATGTCTGGGAGCTGTGGTAGGAGGGTCTGTCTGTGGTAGCAGGGAAATGTCTGGGAGCTGTGGAAAGAGGGTCTATCTGTGGTAGCAGGGATGTCTGCTGTGGAAAGAGGGTCTATCTGTGGTAGCAGGAAATGTCTGGGAGCTGTGGAAAGAGGGTCTATCTGTGGTAGCAGGGAAATGTCTGGGAGCTGTGGAAAGAGGGCTATTGGTAAGAAATGTCTGGGAGCTGTGGTAGGTCATCTGGTAGCAGGGAATGTCTGGGAGCTGTGGAAAGAGGGTCTATCTGTGGTAGCAGCAGGGAAATGTCTGGGAGTAGGAGGTCTGGTGTGATAGCAGGGACATGTCTGGGAGCTGTCTGAGGAGGGTCTATCTGTGGTAAATGTCTGGGAGCTGTGGAAAGAGGGTCTATCTGTGGTAGCAGGGAAATGTCTGGGAGCTCTGGTAGAAGGGTCTGGGATCTGTGGTAGCAGGGAAATGTCTGGGAGCTTTGGAAAGAGGGTCTATCTGTGGTAGCAGGGAAATGTCTGGGAGCTTGGAAAGAGGGTCTATCTGTGGTAGCAGGGAAATGTCTGGGAGCTGTGGAAAGAGGGTCTATCTGTGGTAGCAGGGAAATGTCTGAGAGCTGTGGTAGCAGAGAAATGTCTGGGAGCTGTGGAAAGAGGGTCTATCTGTGGTAGCAGGGAAATGTCTGGGAGCTGTGGAAAGAGGGTCTATCTGTGGTAGGAAATGTCAGCTGTGGTAGCAAGGAAATGTCTAGGAGCTTAGGAGAGGAGCTGTGTGGTAGCAGAGAAATGTCTGGGAGCTGTGGTAGCAGGGAAATGTCTGGGAGCTTTGGAAAGAGAGTCTATCTGTGGTAGCAGGGAAATGTCTGGGAGCTGTGGTAGGAGGGTCTGTCTGTGGTAGCAGGGAAATGTCTGGGAGCTGTGGTAGAAGGGTCTATCTGTGGTAGCAGGGAAATGTCTGGGAGCTGTGGAAAGAGGGTCTATCTGTGGTAGCAGGGAAATGTCTGGGAGCTGTGGTAGAAGGGTCTATCTGTGGTAGCAGGGAAATGTCTGGGAGCTGTGGAAAGAGGGTCTATTTATGGTAGCAGGGAAATGTCTGGGAGCTTTGGAAAGAGGGTAAGAGGGTCTGGATCTGTGGGTAGAGAGCTGTGGACACGTCTGGGAGCAGTGGTAGCTTTGGTCTGTCTGTCTGTGGTAGCAGGGAAATGTCTGGGAGCTGTGGTAGGAGGATCTGCCTGTGATAGCAGGGACATGTCTGGGAGCTGTCGATGGAGGAGCTGTGGAAAGAGGGTCTATCTGTGGTAGCAGAGAAATGTCTGGGAGCTGTGGAAAGAGGGTCTATCTGTGGTAGCAGAGACATGTCTGACGTCTGGGAGCTGTGGTAGAAGGGTCTATCTGTGGTAGCAGGGAAATGAATGCCTGTGATCTGTCTGGGGGAGCTGTGGGAAATGTCTGGGAGCTGTGGGAGGGTCTATCTGTGGTAGCAGGGAAATGTCTGGGAGCTTTGGAAAGAGGGTCTATCTGTGGTAGCAGGGAAATGTCTGGGAGCTGTGGAAAGAGGGTCTATCTGTGGTAGCAGGGAAATGTCTGGGAGCTGTGGAAAGAGGGGTCTATCTGTGGAGGGTCTATCTGGGAGCTGTGGAAAGAGGGTCTATCTGTTTCAGCAGGGAAATGTCTGGGAGCTGTGGAAAGAGGGTCTATCTGTGGTAGCAGGGAAATGTCTGGGAGCTGTGGAAAGAGGGTCTATCTGTGGTAGCAGGGAAATGTCTGGGAGCTGTGGTAGCAAGGAAATGTCTGGGAGCTTAGGAAAGAGGCTCTATCTGTGGTAGCAGGGAAATGTCTGGGAGCTGTGGAAAGAGGGTCTGTCTGTGGTAGCAGGGAAATGTCTGGGAGCTGTGGAAAGAGGGTCTATCTGTGGTAGCAGAGAAATGTCTGGGAGCTGTGGTAGAAGGGTCTATCTGTGGTAGCAGGGAAATGTCTGGGAGCTGTGGAAAGAGGGTCTATCTGTGGTAGCAGAGAAATGTCTGGGAGCTGTGGTAGCAGAGAAATGTCTGGGAGCTGTGGTAGGAGGGTCTGTCTGTGGTAGCAGGGAAATGTCTGGGAGCTGTGGTAGCAGGGAAATGTCTGGGAGCTTTGGAAAGAGGGTCTATCTGTGGTAGCAGGGAAATGTCTGGGAGCTTTGGAAAGAGGGTCTATCTGTGGTAGCAGGGAAATGTCTGGGAGCTGTGGTAGCAGGGAAATGTCTGGGAGCTGTGGTAGGAGGGTCTGTCTGTGGTAGCAGGGAAATGTCTGGGAGCTGTGGTAGGAGGATCTGCCTGTGATAGCAGGGACATGTCTGGGAGCTGTCGATGGAGGAGGGTCTATCTGTGGTAGCAGAGAAATGTCTGGGAGCTGTGGAAAGAGGGTCTATCTGTGGTAGCAGGGAAATGTCTGGGAGCTTTGGAAAGAGGGTCTATCTGTGGTAGCAGGGAAATGTCTGGGAGCTTTGGAAAGAGGGTCTATCTGTGGTAGCAGGGAAATGTCTGGGAGCTGTGGAAAGAGTGTCTATCTGTGGTAGCAGGGAAATGTCTGGGAGCTGTGGAAAGAGGGTCTATCTGTGGTAGCAGGGAAATGTCTGGGAGCTGTGGAAAGAGGGTCTATCTGTGGTAGCAGGGAAATGTCTGGGAGCTGTGGAAAGAGGGTCTATCTGTGGTAGCAGGGAAATGTCTGGGAGCTGTGGTAGCAGGGAAATGTCTGGGAGCTGTGGAAAGAGGGTCTATCTGTGGTAGCAGGGAAATGTCTGGGAGCTGTGGTAGCAGGGAAATGTCTGGGAGCTGTGGTAGCAGGGAAATGTCTGGGAGCTGTGGTAGCAGGGACACGTCTGGGAGCTGTGGAAAGAGGGTCTATCTGTGGGTGCAGGGACATGTCTGGGAGCTGTGGAAGAAGGGTCTATCTGTGGTAGCAGGGAAATGTCTGAGAGCTTTGGAAAAAGGGTCTATCTGTGGTAGCAGGGAAATGTCTGGGAGCTGTGGTAGCAGGGACACGTCTGGGAGCTGTGGAAAGAGGGTCTATCTGTGGGTGCAGGGACATGTCTGGGAGCTGTGGAAGAAGGGTCTATCTGTGGTAGCAGGGAAATGTCTGGGAGCTGTGGTAGCAGGGACACGTCTGGGAGCTGTGGAAAGAGGGTCTATCTGTGGTAGCAGGGAAAAAATGTCTGGGAGCTGTGGTAGAGGGGTCTGTATGTGGTAGCAGGGGCGTGTTGTGACATAGAGTTGACTGAAGCTATGATACTGAGTTGACTGGAGCTGTAATGACCGTATGTTGCCTGAAGCTGTAATAACTGAGTTGACTGGAGCTGTAACAACTGTGAGTTGATTGAAGCTGTGACACTGAGTTGACTTAGGCTGTGACACTGAGTTGACTGAGGCTTTGACACTGAGTTGACAAAAGCTGTGGCAACTGTGAGTTGACTCAAGCTGTAACAACTCTGAGTTGACTGAAGCTGTCTGATGGCAGGAACCTCTGATGGAGGAGTACAGCATTGCTGCTCAAGTGTGGAAGCTGTCCACCTGTGATATGTGTGAGATTGCCCGCAACAGTGTCCTTCAGAGTGGATTTAGTCATGAGGTGAGGTTGTGTCTGTGTGTGTGGGAATAGTGTCCTTCAGAGTGGATTTATTCATGAGGTGAGGTTGTGTCTGTGTGGGAATAGTGTCCTTCAGATTGGATTTAGTCATGAGGTGAGGTTGTGTCTGTGTGTGTGGGAATAGTGTCCTTCAGAGTGGATTTATTCATGAGGTGAGGTTGTGTCTGTGTGGGAATAGTGTCCTTCAGATTGGATTTAGTCATGAGGTGAGGTTGTGTCTGTGTGTGTGGGAATAGTGTCCTTCAGAGCGGATTTAGTCATGAGGTGAGGTTGTGTCTGTGTGTGTGGGAATAGTGTCCTTCAGAGTGGATTTAGTCATGAGGTGAGGTTGTGTCTGTGTGTGTGGGAATAGTGTCCTTCAGAGTGGATTTATTCATGAGGTGAGGTTGTGTCTGTGTGGGAATAGTGTCCTTCAGAGTGGATTTAGTCATGAGGTGAGGTTGTGTCTGTGTGTGTGGGAATAGTGTCCTTCAGAGTGGATTTAGTCATGAGGTGAGGTTGTGTCTGTGTGGGAATAGTGTCCTTCAGATTGGATTTAGTCATTTGTGGTTGTGTGCGTATGTGTGGGAACAGTGTCCTTAAGAGTGGATTTAAAATCATGTGATTAGGTTAAACGTGTAGGAACGGTGGCCTTGATTTAGTTATGAAGTGTGGTTTCAATGTGTGGCATTTAATCACGAGTTGTGGGGAGAAAAGTGTGCTTCAGAGTGGATTTAGTTAGGTATGAGGTATGGGAATATTGTCCTTTAGATTGGATGTAGTCATGAAGTGTGTGTGGGGGAACAGTCCCCTTTAGAGTGGATTTAGTTATGAGGTGTGATTGTTTGTATGGGAATAGTGTTCTTTAGAGTGGATTAGGTCATGAGATGTGGTTGTGTGTGTGGGGGAACAGTGCCTTTGGAGTGGATTTATTCATTAAGTGTGTGTGGGGGAACAGTGACCTTTAGAGTGTCACAAAGTGTAGTTGTGTGGGAACAGTCTTCTTCAAAATGGATTTAGTTATGAAGTGTCGTTGCGTGTATGGGAATAGTATCCATTAGAATGGATTTAGTTGCAAAAAAGAAGAATGATAAAATGCAACAAAATAGCATGTTATAACTTTACTTCTTCGTTCCTTCTGTTTAGGTAAAAAAGCACTGGCTTGGCCTGTTCTATCGGCTGGAAGGCACGGCTGGAAATGATGTTAGCAGAACAAATGTCCCTGACATTAGGGTGGCCTACCGGTACGACACACTTGTAGACGAGTTTATCTGCATCAGGCGTGGTTTCAAGGGTCCTGACTTTCTTGATGCATCTTCCGTTGACCCGTGAAGTTTGGGTTACTAGGTATGGCTGCTAGGTTTGAAAAAAAATGTTATTGAAAAACAAAAACTGTCGTACAGGGGAGACAATGAAAAAAAGGTCAGTTTAGAAAAAAAGTAAAATATTTCTGCAAGGTTAGACATGGTGGTTGTATACAAATAGTATATCTAGACAAAATTCGAAGGAGTGGGTAATGTTACAGTATCAAGAGATGGAGAATGTTGAATTAACAATTGACATCACATCACTCAGAACACCCCTGTAAGCGCTCTGTCCCCATCTTGAGCAGCAAGCAAAGAGTTACAAATCTGATGGTACCAATAACTGTCTGTATATCTGTCTCGCCTTTTTCCTGAGTGTCGAGTGTCGGCCAGATCCCCTTTTAACTCCTTGCAGTGCTATTCTCCTCAGACCGTAATGTTCCTCGGCACTGTTCACATGCTCCCAAAGGGCCCTCACAACATCCAGCTTGTCATACATAAGTTCACCACCAGGTGGTGTAGAACCGGCCAGAGTTAGAGAACCAACAGTCTGTTTGTTCAGTACAAGCCTATTTTAGCTTCATTCCCTCCTCAACTGTTAGCAGAGTTGCCATGACGATGGTACCTGTAGTTAACTAGTCATCTTGAGTCGTGAGATGTGCCCAGAGCCCACAGACACTCCCCATGCTGCATCAGTCTCTCCAGGTCAAAAACAGGGTCAGGCACAGGATGTAGTTGCAGCCAACCCTAATTGTGGAGATGGCAAAACATGCTCATCAAAAGACAAATCATGAGGTTTTTACCCGCTCCATGACAAATGGACTCTAAAACATGTGCTGAAAGATAGTTTTAATTACATATTTTTGCTGAATCAAATTTTTACAGGTGTACTTCATATAGGTTTACATGAATCTAATTTTACTAGTTAAAATAATTCATTTACTTTATAATTTTGATACTTGACGTAAAGGTAAAAAATCCTTCACACGTACTGAGCATATAGGGCTAGACATATATTTCTTACAACAATCAGTACTTGGTTGGTAAAGTTATCAACATCACGCTGGCTGTCTTTACTTCCCACGATTTATTATATATACATTATTTTAAAATGTAATATCTATGAAAGCTTTACGAAATATGCCATACAGTTTGATTACAGTTTATTTCCTCAAGTACTTGACGATCCCTTGCACCGTGATTTTGGAAATTTAGACACAAAATTTTTGTGATTTTTGTACCATTCTTTCTTCTTCATCTTCTTGTTTTCTTTTTCGTTCTTTGTCGTCTTTTGTCATTGTAGTCTCGTGTTGTCTTTTGTCATTGTAGTCTTGTGTTGTCTTTTGTCATTGTAGTCTTGTGTTGTCTTTTGTCATTGTAGTCTTGTGTTGTCTTTTGTCATTGTAGTCTCGTGTTGTCTTTTGTCATTGTTGTCTCATGTTGTCTTTTGTCATTGTAGTCTTGTGTTGTCTTTTGTCATTGTTGTCTCGTGTTGTCTTTTGTCATTGTTGTCTCGTGTTGTCATTGTTGTCTCATGTTGTCTTTTGTCATTGTAGTCTTGTGTTGTCTTTTGTCATTGTTGTCTCGTGTTGTCTTTTGTCATTGTTGTCTCGTGTTGTCATTGTTGTCTCATGTTGTCTTTTGTCATTGTAGTCTTGTGTGGTCTTTTGTCATTGTAGTCTCGTGTTGTCTTTTGTCATTGTTGTCTTTTGTCATTGTAGTCTTGTGTTGTCTTTTGTCATTGTTGTCCCATGTTGTCTTTTGTCATTGTTGTCTCGTGTTGTCTTTTGTCATTGTTGTCTCATGTTGTCTTTTGTCATTGTAGTCTTGTGTTGTCTTTTGTCCTATTCATGATCCAAATCAATCAACTAGACAGTTTATAGCAGAGAAGAACTGATTAGAATCACAAGAAGGATTGTGTTTTTACGTTGAGAGTTTGATTTATAATGGATATCGCAGATCCTTCAAATTCATTTCACAGTTCGCCAAATGAGAAAGACTGTTTAGACAATAAAATGTCTGGGAGACCAATTCCAACCAGGGGCAATCTTGCTGTTGAGGTGCCCACTTTGATTTTTTGAGGCACAGCGTTTAAGGAAGTGGGGGGGGGGGGGAGGGGTAGTCATTGTTAAAATAAAAAGGGAAGGCTCATTGTTTAAAAAAAAAACTGTGTGTGTGTGTGGGAGGCAGGGGTATTTAGAAAATGGACTCATCCTAAGTTTACATAAGGGGGATAAGATTTGTGGCTTAGGTCGGCATGGCATAGAAAAGCTTGGTAGGTAACACAGAATACAAAATGATGCTACAGGGCTCAGTAGAGGGGAAGAGGCAGATTAAGAAATACGTGGACCAAGAATTTTGCTAAATGGACAGGCCTCAAATATATCAGCATCAAAACACAGCTGGAGGGAGTTGATCAGAGCATCAGTCAGTGGTGACTCAATGGTACAGGCAGTTCAATCTTCTCAACACCATCCTAGCAGGCACTCCACCCTTCTCAGCACCATCCCAGCTACAAGCGACAGTAGACAAAGTGACTGAGTGGTGTACAGAAATGAGGGCTGTCGTCCACCCGGAAAGGCGTCTGTTTGGTGGTGTTCTCTAAACAACAGGATCGTTAAAGCTAATGTCCCAAGTCTCACGATAGATGGTAGAAATGTCAAAAGATAGAGTAAACTGAAGTATCTGGAAATTACATTTAACAGGAGCCTGTCCTTTAAGGACCATGTGGAGAGTTGTGACAAGATGCCAAAAGATGCACTATGGCTGCAATTGACATAGAGCAGAAAATGCTTTTCACACTATATCAGCACCTGATCCTGTCAGTGGTTGATAATGGCCTGGGACTGCTTACCGTCTCAAAGAGTCAGATGGACAAACTAGAGCGCATGTAGAACGCGGCTATGCGGGTCATTCTGAGTTGCACCAGAGACACCCCAGTGGTTTGCCAACTGTTGCAGGTAGGCACAAGGTCCTGCAGGCGAAGCCATATCTCAGGGAAGTCCACAGTTTCAGTCCAATTTTAAAATGAACTTATAAACAGGAATCTTCTAGTAGAATTTAACACAGCTTCCAGTATCTGGTATGTTTAACACATTTTTTGCATAGTTCCAGTTTTTTTAAATAAAAACTTTTAGTTGGCTCTGTTGCTAAGTCGGTGCGAACGCTTCGTAATGCTAGGTTTGATCCCAGCTGCGGGCCATGCGCCTTGCGTTGGTTTCGACAGTGGTATCAAGAAAGCCGACCGTCCAGAAGCAATGGCAAACTACTGGACGTAAATTTGCCTAGAGAAACCGCACAACAGCCAGGGGCTGTTGGGGTTGGTTCTGCAACGTTCTGTAAAGGATACGCAACTAACATTATAAACTTTTAATCAGTTTGTGAGATTTAGATACATGTTACTATGTGTGAAGTTTCTGCTGCCAGATGAGGGGTAACTTTATTTTTAACCACATTCACTAATACGACTGGCATATTATAAGAAATATCATCCATGTTGTTAGCCTTCTGAGGCCTACAGAAGATGACATTGTGAAAACTGTCCTCTCTCCCTCTCCCTCTCCCCCTCCGCGTGTGGTGTGTGTGTGTGGTGTGTGTGTGTGGTGTGTGTGTGTGTGTGTGGTGTGTGTGTGGTGTGGTGTGTTTGTGGTGTGTGTGGTGTGTGTGTGTGGTGTGTTTGTGGTGTGTTTGTGGTGTGTGGGGTGTGTGTGTGTGGGGTGTGTGTGGGGTGTGTGGGGTGGGGTGTGTGTGGGGTGGGGTGTGTGGGGTGTGGGTGTGTGTGTGGGGGGTGTGTGAGTGGGGTGTGTGGTGTGTGTGTGTGGTGTGGTGTGTGTGTGTGTGTGTGTGGGGGGTGTGTGTGTGGGGGGTGTGTGGGAGTGTGTGTGTGGGGTGTGTGTGTGTGGGGTGGGGTGTGTGTGTGGGGAGTGTGGGGTGTGTGTGTGTGTGTGGGGGGGGGTGTGTGTGAGTGGGGTGTGTGGTGTGTGTGGTGTGTGGGGGTGTTGGGTGTGTTTGGGGGTGTGTGTGTGTGTGGGGGGGGGGGGTGTGGGGTGTGTGTGGTGTGTGGGGTGTGTGGGGTGGGGTGTGTGGTGTGGTATGTGTGTGGTCTGGTGTGGTGTGTGTGTGTGGTATGTGTGTGTGTGTGGGGTGTGTGTGTGCGTGGGGTGTGTTGTGTGTGTGGGGTGTGTGTGTGGTGTGGTGTGTGGGGTGGGTGTGGTGTGTGTGTGTGGGGGGTGTGTAGGGTGTGTGGGGGTGTGTGGTGTGGGGTGTGTGTGTGTGTGGGGGTGTGGGGGGTGTGTGGGGGTGTGTGTGTGGGGTGGGGGGTGTGTGGGTGGGGGGTGTGTGTGTGGGGTGTGTGTGTGTGGGGGTGTGTGTGTGTGTGGGGTGTGTGTGTGTGGGGTGTGTGTGTGGTGGGGGTGTGTGTGTGGGGTGGGGGTGGTGTGTGTGTTGTGGGGTGTGTGTGTGGGGTGGGGTGTGTTGTGTGGGGTATGTGTGGGGGTGTGTGTGTGGGGGGGGGGTGTGTGGGGTGGGGTGTGTGTGGGGGGGGGTGGTGTGTGTGGGGTGGTGTGTGTTGGGGTGGGGGGGGGGGGTGGGTGGGGTGGGCTGTGTGTGGGGGGTGTGTATGTGGGGTGGGGTGTGTGTGTGTGTGGGGGGTGGGTGGGTGGGGGTGTGTTTGTGTGTGGTGTGTGTGGGGACTGGGGTGGGTTGTGTGGGGTGTGGTGTGTGTGGGGGTGTGTGTGTGGGGGGTGTGTGGGGTGGGGGTGTGGGTCTGTGTGTGTGGGGGGTGGGTGGGGGGTTGTTGTGTGGGGGGCGGGGGGGGGGGGGGGGTGTGGTGTTGGGTATGTGTGTGGGGGTGTGGTGTGGGGGGTGTGTGTGTGTGGGGTGTGGTGTGTGGGTGTGTGTGTGTGGGGTGTGTGGGGGGTGTGTGTGTGGGGGTGGGGGTGTGTGTGTGGGGTGGGGTGTGTGTGTGGGGGTGTGGGTGTGTGGGGTATGGGTGGGTGGGTGGGGATGTGTGTGTGGGGTGGGGTGTGT